TCATCGCCCGATAGGAGATAAATAGCGCATTGGGAAAGATCGTTTCCAATCCAAATTTCGCGGCTAATCTAATCTCTTTCCGAAAATATCGGATAATATCCTGAATTCTCCCTCCGCAGAAGCCATCGTCCGTATATTCCGACGGGAATGGAAGAATGATTCCGATTGCCGCAGCGATTTCCTCTGTATGACACGTGCGGGTCAAATAAAAGAAAGCTATCATCATCGGGCATCCCTCTTGCCCTCTTATTTGATATATATTGATTTTTAATAAATCAAATGGGAAGCTGATTCATAATCTCATATAGTAAAAGCAGAAGAGACGAGGATATATTGACGAGATCCCTCTAAAAAGATTGATGGCAGAATCGGTTTGAAGATATTATTGATATCTTTTTGCAAGAAGATCATATCTTTCTTTCCTTTATTCTGAGCAATCCAATTTCTTCTGGAGGGAACGAGAATCTCGGGACCGCCAGAAATTGCAATGGCCAATTGATGAAGGAGCAATCGAATCTTAATACCTTCCGCGTCGAGACGAAAAAGAAATTCAAATATCAATTTATGAAAGACCTATCTCATAATTATGAGACGAATATCACGATTCAATGCCATTCGACGTCTTGATTTATCAATTTTGCCTATTCCACTAAGGTTCCCTTCCGTTAACCAAGATTATAATATATCAGGAATTTCCACGACTGCCAAAATTTGGAGGAATACGCATAAGATTTGCAAAATCTCAGAAATTAAAGACTATCAAATAATTCCTTTCAAGAAATCAGCTCGTAGGTCGTCGGACCCCGATTCAAATCCTATTGGGAAGGATTGTAGAGATTTGAATTTCAATTCCAAGGGAAATTCCGGAATACGGAATATCCTGAAAATATTGGATAAATTCGAGCTCCCGCGCGGAATATCTTGAAAATTCGGACGATTTTTCAATTTATATATATGAATATCTATATATATAGATATATATATTCATATATATATAGATTCATATATATATAGAGATATATCTAAAATGAATCATCTCGGATCTCCTATATAGAGATCCTATATATCTGAATTAGAAATTTATAAGAGATATGAGAGAATATAATTTCTCCAAAATCCTTCAATTATAGCCATCAATAGACCAAATCTATAAGGATCTGCGTGATCTATAAGAACGAAATGCTGAATTATCCTAATATGGAATCAGAAAAGAGACGACTAATCTGCCAGGGATCATGATCTTGAAATTCTCTAATTCGATCTCCTCCAGGAGCCAATATCTTAATATTCTTTATCCTTCGTCTCTCCAAGGATCGGCATCTTGAAATTCTTGAATTCGAGCCTCTGAAGGGATCGATTTAAATTTTGATTCTTTATCTTGGATCTCTTCAAAAAATAATTTTTGAAATTTTTCAATTAGATCTCCTATAGGGACCGATATCTTAAAATTGATTATCTTGAATTGAGTCCTCCAAAATTCGATATCTTGAAGTTCTTCAATTCAGATCCCTGCAGGGACCAGCTTCTGAAAATTCTTCATCCTAGATCCTTCCAATGACTGCTATCTTGAAATTCTTCAATTCAGATCCCTATAGGGACTAGCTTCTTAAAATTCTTCATCCTAGATCCCTCCAAAGATTGGCATCTTGTAATTCTTCAATTCAGATCCCTCTAGGATTCAGTTTCTTAAAATTCTTTATCCTAGATCCTTCCAAGAGCTGGTATTTTGAAACTCTTCAATTCGGAGTCCTATATAATCGACCTTTTTGAAATTCTTTATTACAGATCCCTCCAAAGATCGATATCTTGAAGTTCTTCAATTCGGATCTTTGAAGGAACCGGCATTTTCAATCTCTTTATCTTTCATCTTTCTAAGTATCGAAATCTTGAAGCTATTGAAATCGATTCTCTTCAAGACCAATTTAAATTTGATTCTTTATCCTAATTTCTGAATCGATTTAAATTTGATTCTTTATCCTAGATCTCCGCAAATAATAATATCTTGAAATGCTTCAATTCGGGTCTCTGTAGCGGTCAATATCTTAAAGATCTTTATCTTCAATCTCTCTAAAAATCGATATCTTGAAGATCTTCAATTCAGATCCCTGCAAGGGTCGATATCTTGAAATTCTTCAAATCGATCTTTATAGGAGATAATAATTTAGAATTCTTTATCTTAGATCTCTCCAAAGATCGAGATCTTGAAGTTCTGCAATTCGAGTACCTATACGAATATACGAATTGCTTATTTAAAATTGAAAATCTTCAATCCCTCCAAGGATCGGCATCTTGAAATTCTTCAATTTGGATCCTTATAGAAGCCAAATTCCTAAAAAAATAAAAATATATATTATTATTAATTCCTTTCAAGACCGAACTCTTCAAAAAACGCAAGAAGCGCAAGAATCACCTCCTTAATTTTTTTCAGAAGATCTAAATTTCTCATAACTAATTATAAGAAATTTCTTCCTAAGATTTATTCAGAAAATAAAAAAATCAAATCTCAAATTATACGAATTAATTTCATATTTTTTATATAAAATCAAATCTCCAAATCTCGTATCATAAAAGCCAGACCTCCCTAAGAATTTTCGGAGAATCAAAACAAGCCGAAGTCATCATTTATCCTAATGAAATAATTAAGATTTGATCGATTTCTCCCAAAAAAAAATATCGGATTCTATAGAGATGAGGTCCTTAATCTATTTACTATTATTTATCTTAAATCTCCCAAGAAATGGCATCTTAAGATTCTTCAAATCGAGTTCCTCCAGAATTAGTATCTAGAAATCCTTCAATTAGGATTCTTCCAAGAAATAGAAGTTTCCCTAAATCATTCTTCCCAAAATAGGAGAAATTTATATAGGATCTCGTATTATAATGGGACCCCAAATATAAGATCTCATATTATAGAGAATTTAGAGTAATCCCCAAATATCTCCTATTGAAATTCTAGAATTCGGATCTTTATATGTCAATTAAAATCTCTGAATAATTCAATTTTTTAATATTCTTTATCCTAACTTCCTCCAAAGATCAATATCTTGAAATTTTCAAATTCCGGTTCCTATCAAGATTCAGTCAGTCAATCAATCATATGCCAGGTGGCGCGTATATAGAAAAGAAATGGCAAATCGTGTCACGCCAAATTCGGAGATTCTATATAAATCTAATTAGTTCACGGCGACCGTTCGCAATTTGAAAGATTTTAATCCTAACCTCGGGAGCCCATTCATGTCTTGGCCTCCCTACCCTTCTAACGTATTTGCTAGTGGATGCTTGCAAACTTCCGTGGATAAAAGACGAGCTATGCATCAGATAGTCGTATAGAAACCTCAGAGTTTCCCAAATAGTATCAGCTGCCGTTGCAGACGAATCTGAAAGGCGGCAAGGTAGGAGGCCCCTGAAAGAGCGATGGCCCCTGAAAGAGCGATGCCCAAAATTTTGCGTAAATAACGATTTCGGAATCTATCCAAACGACGACATTCAGCTTCTACAAGGCATATGCAACTTGAATTATATATTAAGTTTGCTTCGATCAGGGCCTTATAAATTCGAATTTTCCGGATCCAGAGTAGCGTTGAATATTTGCAAATCTTTTGCAATTAAAGAAAATCGGATTTAGCCATTCCGATTCTATATCCCAGCTCGTATCCAAAGAGACCATCAATATTAAGAATAGATTCAAAGTAATAAATACCTAGTTTAGAAATGCTTGCCCGCGGAAATGAAAATAGAAGCATTATATCGTATTTCGAGCAGATCTTAAAGAAATCATTTATTCAAAATTCTCATTAAAATCATCAATCTAAAATATTTCAATCTATACCATCCAAATAATTTCTTATAATTTGAAAATTAATAATTCAATTTTCTGAATAAATTTTAAGAATTTCTTGCGAGTAATCAAGAAAATTTGTACTTTTCTAAAAAGATTAAGGAAGCTCTCCTCGTGTTTATTACGAATTTTTCAAGATTCAAAACTTGAAACAAAAGAATAATACAATTTTTTTCTTTTTTTTAAGAAATTGGCTTCTATAAAGAAAAATCTTTCCAAAATTCAGCATCTTCAATCTCTTCAGCGATCAAATAAATTCCCGAAAAATCTCTTAAATTTCTAATTTATCAAAATTACAAAATCTCAAAATATTCTAGAATTAATCCGATATCAAAAACCCTCAAAATCTTTTCGAATTTCTTATCTATTATATTCGAATTCGTCAAAATCATAAGAATATATTAATTTCATTTAAATTTAGAAAATAAGATGAAAAGGAATCAATTTGGTAATATTCTCTATCAAAATTTTTGAATTTTCATGATTTCATCCAAGGAAGATCCGCGCGATTATTTATTTCTAGATAGTAATCGTATCATATTCAGAATATCAAAAAAAATAAAACTATATTTGAAACTAAATCTTCTATCAATTCTCTAGGAAACATTCTAATCTGAAATATATCATTTCTGATGAAATCCCTCAGATTTGAGAATCACGAAGAGCCTATCTATATGATTAATAAATTCTCTGCTTTCTTTAATTTTCGTATTCTATTATCGCATATATTATCGTTTGTCATTTTTGAGCCTAATCTATAATTTAAATGAAATTTTCAAATCCAGAGCAGACGACCAGCGGAACCCAAGCCCTCAGGGGGCACGGTGATAGGTCCGCCAAATTCCAAGCCATGAGCCAGGGGGGGCCGTTCATTTGAGATTTCCGGCTCTTTGACCTGGGCCGGTCCCACGCTCTGTTGCCATTCCTCCTGACCCTCCTTGCCAATGATTTGATTTTGAATTCGCTGTCCGTTTTAATTTGATTTCTCCCTCCAATCATCCACCCAGACCCATCTCGCCAAATTCCATGGGCGCATGCCAGCGTACCCGCTCGAGCCAGGCGGAGGCACTGCACGTAAAGACGCATAAAAACGCTTGCTACTGCAAGCCACAAAACGTGGTGAATAGAGATTCCTGAACAGTACTCTTGACCATATCGCATGTCAAACCACAGCCAGACCAGCGACCACTAAAAGTGCTCCGAGAAGCTGGTGAGCCGCAGGCACCTGAAGCAGGTCTGGCAGTCAGAAAAGTTTTGTGAGGGGACAGCGCTACAGGTCACGCAAGTATCGAGTACTTTAACTGCCCCGCCTCTCCAAGTAGCAGGGCGGCAAGCATCGTGGCGCCAAACGGCTCTAAAAGCCCAGCAGCTGCAACCTTGGCTTGAGCATGACTCCATACCCAGCCAGCCAAGGAGCAGGGACCCCATTAGTTTTCACACGAAAAACAATGACGCACTGAGAGATAGCGTGGCACGTCAGTTACGCAGAGCGCTTCAACTTGGGCTCTTCAATGTACTATTTGTAGCACACTGCTTCAAATCCAAAGCCTGATTGAGCCCATGTGGGCGAAACCCATCGTGAAACCCCGTAGAAATGGAAGAAATTCGGGTGCTTTTGTGCCTGCAGCACCTCAGAATCCTCGTTGAGCAACCCGCTGGAGCAAAAGCCGTGATACTTTGCTCGTAGCTTGATCTGGACATGCCACAGAATGCCGGCTCTTACCAGACGTGTCTGTGAACGGCATGAGGTCGCAAATCATCTTGCCAGGTCACTGTTGCAGCAGGCAAGTACCGGAGGGCATAGTTGAAGCCAATGTGCCCTGTCAGCTGTGGTCCGGCAGCAAGGGCGCAGACAGCAAGCCACTGGCGCGCGCAAGTTGGCCAAAGTGGCGTTCCTGGACGGCTCAAGCTTGGAGATGATTGCGGAGCAACCACGAATTCACCTCTATGCGTTTAAAAGCGCCTTGCATGGTACAGAGTGGTACAGTACATGCCCACTTGAATTTGATGTCCACTTGCGCTGAGGATGCTTGTTCCAATGCGTGGCCGTTTACTTCGAGCACACTCGCGTATCGGACACAAAGCGCCCCAGTTCGTGGGCGAAACGCCCAATTGTGGTGGAAAGACTGCCTGACGAGGGAAGCCTTTTGCAGAAGACCTGTGAAGGACAATGAGTACTTAAGCCGCGGTACAGTTCCCGGTGTAGCACTGCATATTCCGCACCCTCACAGCGGGGCTGTTAAATCTAAGGAGTCTTGGTTCTCCTCGCCCTTCGCGCAGTGCCTAATCGCAGACTGTCCCTACAGAGTATCCCTGGAGTGCCCAACCGCAGAATATCCGAGCAGTGCACGAATAACCCTCACGTTATACAGCCCTTATACACCTGGCCTTTACAAGGCCCTTTACAACCCGTGTATAAACTCTTTAAGCAGGCCATATGTAGGCCTTATAAATCCTTATAAGCTTTGTAAGAGACCCTATGCTGATTTGATACAAGGAGTTGAACTTTTGTGTTCCCAGGAGATTGGCTGAGTGAGATTAATCGGAATCGGTCAGCCACCCCACGTACTGGACAATCACACTTTAGGGGTGTGGATGCTCGAAGGTGATACTTATTTGTGATAATAACTCATTAGCTTTCTTTTTACTATTCTTCTCACTCTTTTCTTCTACAGGCTATGCACACCCCTCACGAGTACGCAGTGGCTGAGCCCCATAGCCCAAGTCCGCGTCGGTTCGGTCGGTACCCGCGAGGTCCAGAATACTACCCATTTTGCTGACACATCCTCAAGCATTACCAGCTTCAAGGGACACATACACTCAGTGCAAAACAGCATTCCAGGATCGAAATCCGCCTCTCCTCTGCTCTAGAGGCTGTGAAACTACGTAGCACCTCTAGGAAGTCGCGCCTTCCCCTTTCAATAAACACCACGGCAACACAGACTTTGCTTAGCGTGCACCCACGTGATTGTTGACGGCTTTCCAGTATGACCAGTTGCTGCACGGACAGTCAATCAATCACCACCCTGACCTGCAGCAGAGCTCAGCCTCCCCCCGCTCTGCGCTGCTGGCACGCTATCCAAGGCGAGCCAGGCTCGCGTCGGGTTCCACCCTGGATTGAACTTTATCACTCTATAACAAAGACTACTCTCCAGTCTCTCTCCTTCTTCTTTTTATTCTTATTCTTCATCTTGTTTCTTCTCTCTCTCCCGTTCGTTCTCAAAAATGTTGCTTGCAGCAAATGCTTGTTTTTATAAAATGTACCCTGCACTGCGCAAGCAGTGTCCTGTGAGGAAGGCAACCAGGGCAAGCCATGTTGCACAGGAGCTACACAGCCGAGTGCCGTAGCAGCCGATGCTCACTCGCTGTCTCATTTCTCGTCCAATCCTTGTTTCGAGTCAGCACGGCTAGAGCCGTGGCTTTCAAACTGTGTGGAACGAAATGGATCTCTGCCGACCATGGCTCGTCAAGTAAATGGCACAGAACAATCCCCCGAGCCTCACAGGGTCACGCAGGATACCAGCAACGAGCTCAGGTGAGAACTTCACTGGACAAAGACCTGAGCCCTACGTTTCTTTCAAGACCAGCTGCAGTGCCAGGAAGTCACCGAGCGGGCTTCCGCCAGCAGATCCAACACCAGCACTGCACCAAACTCCTCCCACAAACCGCTCATGTTCATGTGCTCAGGTGGCATTTTATGCGCTGACGACACCAGCACCTGTCATAGCAACACCAACACCCAGCCAGAAGCGTCCGACAGGAGCATCTTGTCCTGTTCCACATCAAAAAGTACCCTTGTCAACCGAAGGTGTGTTGTACCATGTGCAAGACCAGCCTGTGACATACCCCATCAAGCCAGCCCAAATTGGCGTCCAGGACACAAGCAGCGTGGAACGCAGCACCTCGAAGTGACGGTTCACGGAGAACAAGCTGTCTGTTCTGATGAAGCTGCACGTAGCGACTACAACCACCGCACATGTCACAGCCATTGCAAAGTCTGGGGCCATGCCTAAGCAGTGCAAGGATGCCTGCAGAAAGCGCCTTCTGATATCTCCCAACGGGGTAGGGGTCGCATATTTCAGAGATCACAGCCCGCATGTGAGAGGATTCTCGCCATTCCCTGGCTGGCCCTTCTAGATCTCTACAAAAACTGTGAGTGTCAGATCTCGAAACTGTCGCGTACCAGTAGTGTGGATTACCGACGCCGAAGGCAAAACGCATGAACCCAAAGCGCGGCTATGGGACCAATCTGGAGAACCCCATGGCAACAACAAATTATGACAGCATGGGACCATATGACGGCTAAGCCAGTCACAATTGTTCTCAAAGTCTTGGCCGCCGGCAGTGGTCTGCTCCAGCGACGCAAACCTGCATAAAATGGGACTGGCTGCTGTCTCTGATGTCACAACAACGCAAGGTCAAGCTATGGCACGTCGAGGCAAAGACGCAAGGAAAGCAAGGAGGTGCAAGACTTTCATGCCGCCAGGATGCCATGACCAGAAATGGAGGGCCAAAGCCAGACCTGCTAGCGCCGAGAGGCTGGAGTCTCTCCTGAGACGCACGAGATACCATCAGCCCATTCTTACCTAATGCCAAGCAGCAGCACACTCCCAAAGATTGCCAAGAAGGCAGCAGGACGCCTGCAGCTAAAGCAGTTCGCCAAAAAGCCACCTCAGTTCCATCCCCCCCTGCACACAAAAGCGACGAATCAAGATTCGATTAGTGTTGAATGTTGACGTTGAGGGCAGAGTGGAACAATTACGGACACATGCGGCAACCCATGCTTCTGCATCCACTGCCACAAAGCCGCAGTTAGTGGAGGCAAACCGTGTGCCAAACGGACAAGAATAGCTCCACTGCTTGCAGCTAACACCGCCTAGGCTTGGTCGGGATATGCTGTAAACAAGCCAGGCACAACACCTGGCACGTCAGCTGCATGACAAGCTGCTGCCAGCAGAAGCAAACTGACCCGTGGCTCTGACGAAGGTGCCATGAGCGGCTGTCCAATTCCACTTGCTGCCTACATCATCCGGCGAGACAGGCTCAACATCACTGCAGAAGCAACTTCAAGCAAAACTGGTTCTGTGTTCTGACCATTGCTGCATGATGCACAGCTTGGAATCTAATCACAAGCATGTCGAATGAACACAAAGTCTGTTTAGCCTGTCCGGTAAGCTGGCATCAAATGCTGTCTTGTGACCAGGAGAATGACTAGAAAGGAAACGGCGGCAACCTGAACAAAGAATTTGGCCCACTCGCCTTCCAGCACTAGCAGCCACAAGTTTCAACACGTGAGAACTTGCATCGAAGGCAGGCTAAGCGCAAGTGCTTTTTTGAAGCATGCTCCCTGAGAGGAGTGACAGAAACCAGCCAGACCAGTTCAGTGCCTTAGCGACTGACCTGGCATGACCACATGTTTCCAGTCTGCCAAAGACTGTCAAATCTTGAAGCGCCCGCACGATCCTCTGTGAGGACGTGCAGTAATTGTTGACTTTACATACCAGGTCTGTTTCAGATAAACAGGCCAAACAAAACAAGCCATCGTAAGCGTGAAGCATCCTTACCAATATCGCGGCTTTTCTTGAGTACGACTCGTTGGCCCTTAAACAAGGGAGCTCACCTGGAGACTGTTGCTTTGGCCAGGTTCACTCAAAAGTCCTCCCATCAGGAAGGGAGAGCGTTGCTACGCGTGCAAGAAGACTGTGCAGCCGTCATGAAACAAATCTCACGTGCCACACCATGCGTCTGACTTACGAGCCAGGATCTTCAACATGTGACTGACGGCTACAAAGAAGGTGCCTAATTAAAGCTTGCGTCGAAAAGGAACTCACGTTTGTTCTTTCAATTAGACGCAACACAAACCCTGCTTCACTACGGCTGGCCCGGCCGACACAAACAACTGACGCAAGCAGAAGCCAGACGCAAGATCACTGCCCGACTACCCACGACCTATGGTTGGAATGTGGAATTTCAAGAACGATGCATGCAAAACTTGTAGGAGGGTCGTCGGGGGTTCCTAGGTTTCGCGCAACATTATTTCAAAGTTGAATGCTGTTTGCCTCAGGCAGATGAAACCCAAGCCGCTTTGGATGGAGATCCATTTGGTCAAGCCTCTTTGCCAAGTTGCGCATAAGCACACCTTGCAACGAATAGTGGCATCAGCACTTCAATGTCTACGGTTGGTGATCCGGTGTATGTTGCTACTCAATCCACTTGAGGCACCTCCCTGCTGCTTTAACAGCGCCGAGTCTCGAAACTCGTCTTCATTGATCAGACTGTCGCCGTTTGTGTCGCCCAGCTGCAAGACGCTTTTCACTGAGTCGTTGCAGCCCAGCACCCTTGGCTGGCAAAGGATGGGGCTCTTTCGAAGCCCGGCCCCCATGAAATCACTTGACACGATTGCCTACTGCACGACTGCACAATGCTGACTCTTCATCTTGAAGAATCCTTGCCATGAAGCTGGTCTACCTGTTGAAGGTTACGCATTCCTTTTCTCCTAGCCTGCTTCACTTGCAATGCGAGTCACAGCTCTGCTCTGTTTAGGGTGGCTTATGGCTTACTGCTGTGCTCCGGTGATCTTCCAGTTGCACTTGTCCGTCATGCACAACTTACAGGCTTCAGGCTGGCTTGATTGTAGCAACTTGGTATGGCATTTGGGCCATCGAAGGTCCCACAAACGTGCAAGCCCCAAAGACAACAATTCTGACCCTGCCTCAAACCGTGAACACTGAGGGAGTCAATCAAATGGAAACCCATCAACACCAGCAGTGCGAGCTTCCCATTCTTGCATGGCTACCTTGCAGCCACAGTTGCCTATACAGCTCGTGAGGAGCTATGTGGCCAGTCTGATCTATGTCAAGATAGTGGTACACCTTGCCGTGTTACATCTGTAGTCACGGCAATTCAGTAGCGAAAGATGGCGAAGGGGCAACATGAACTGCCAAATGGGCACCTGCTTGATAGCCTTGTCGGTAGCCAGCGCAGACGGTTGCATTGTGGCTGCCAACCACTCCGTGTAATGAACTTTTCCTCCAGGCAGATCCATACTTTTCCCAATGCTTACGTGAGATGCAATCCCGAAAGTCACCAAGGACTTCCTTACGTGTTACAAGCGTGATCCAGCGAGCCAAGTGCAGGTGCAAGAAAGCAAGAAGCTTGCACCCCCATACTGACGTAGTGAAAAACTGCGCGGAGTTTCGATCATGTCTGGCACACGCCTCCTTCCAATCAGTGCCTTCCTGCTTAGACGACAACCCCAGACTGCGCATCCACTGTGACACTTCCTGACCCGTTCAGATAACCCTCTTCCCAGGTCAGATGGAAAACATCCTTCCGATCAAAGGTTTTCTAGACATCTGCTGAACAGTATCACGCGAACGGGCACCGACCGCCAACCAAGGTCAATCTTTTCACACACACACACAAACACATCGCTTCGTCAATCCTGTCCCATCGGCATCCAAGGCTGAAAAAATTTCGTTCAACTCCACATCTCCCACAGCATGGCCGCATCGATGGATGCCTTCCTCGGCTTTTTTCAAGCAGCCGAAATCGCCAGCCCGAGTATTCTGCTAAAAGCTGAGGTCTGCGGCTTTGATCTCACTCTTGCTCAAAGAACCTGAAGACAGACAGACAGCTTGGGACAGAATCCAAGTGGCTCTGAGACCCTTCATATTGGAGGCGATGCTCACAAAGGCACACACGGACAAGCGACCACTTCTTCCGACGCTAAATAAGACCTGCCTGACTGCGAGACATCCAACGTGTGGAAGGCATCCCGCAGTTCAGCTACATGAGCATCCTGCCAAACAAGAGTGGTCAAGGCACAGCCATTTGCACGATATCTAGTGGCTGCTCGCACATCATCTGATGCATGGCGGCGTCCTCCGATCTGTGAGCAACGAGCGTGAGCACCTCAGTTGCTGAATTCACCCCCTCTAGTGGGGGGGAAGGGCGTCAGAAAAAACAGGAGACCTGTTTCCGCCAAATTGTATGTTCCGGGGTTGAACTACTGCCCCAATGCTATGGAGATCTCTGAGACTCATTTTCTCTGATCGACAAGCGCACCTGCACAGCACTGCATTGACGGCATCGGTGGTTACAACCTGTCATCATCGAATCCTCCCACACCTTGCAACACCCCTTCCCGGACCTATTTTTGCACAGACCCCACTGTCACAATACTAGGTCTGCAACGGTGAGCCACATAGCACCAAATTCAAAAAGTGAGCGGCCTGTACCTGTGTCTGCACGCTACAGCACAACACTGAAGTACAAGTTCCGCACCACGACAGGAGCACTGTTGATTGGGAGCGCGTATACTACATATGCCCGACGCAATCAGTCGAATGAACCGGCCCTCAGGCCCTCAGATTCTGACAGGAGATGTTATCATCTTACAGCTCATCTCTGCTGCTAATCGGCGGCCCGCTCGAACTTGGAGTAATGCCGGAAGGTAGCTAACCTTCCTCGGCAGGACCAAGCAGATAGTTCACGGCAAGTGAAAGACTCAACAGAAGTAGAGGGAAGGAATTCGTGCAGCAGTCCTTTACACGTCTGCTTCAGTCTGCTATTTATGCGCCTTTAAGCTTCGGCGCCTGGTCCACTGCCTTGACAGCAGACACAAATGGCGCAAGGATTGCGTTCCAAGAGGCGAATCATTCCTTACAGCTCGCGGCCAAAACAGCACACTTAAGAACATCGTCGCAAGAAAGCTTTGCAGCAACCGCAGGCGCGAACTCAGGCTCTGATGCAAGCAAAAGGCCATGTGATACGGGTGAGGTTGTCTGGGAGACGTTGAGGTCTGAATCGGACGACGCTGGACTGTGCAGCAGCTTGGGCCGGGAGTCCTCGCCCGTCCAAGCAGGACATCACAGAACATTTGGCGCTAACAGGTCTGTCTTCAGCATTCTTCAGCATCCCATGGATACAAAGCCTCCTTGATACAACCCATACACATCTGCTCCCCAGTATCATGGATGGAGCCACACACAACACGAACTTGGTGCAAGACCTGGATGTTCGCAAGCCACGGGCTTCGCAGAGCACCTTGTGCGTCCATGCCTGGGCATGATGCAGCATGCATAAACAACATGATTCCAAGATTATGGCGGCCAACTTCCTGTGTGCAGCTGACTAAACAGATCAAGAGGCGAGCATCCGGGTTCTTCTCCTCGGACCCAGCCAGCGCAACTCTTTTGGGAATCATCCCCTCTTTGGTTTGTGATCCAGTTGCGCTCGGCACATGTCACTGTCAGCAGACTGGACGCAAGCAGCCCTCTTGCAAGGCTCCAGATCTGCAAGACAAATCGCAAGTTCCATGTTCACGCTTTGAACATACACCGACCGGAAAAAAACTCTCTGAAAGTGGCAGGACACCAAAAGCGCGTAGAGCAGCTCTGCAGCGTCATGGTCGACATCCGCCTCCTGTGCAGCCATGGGGTGTGCCTATGGATTATCTATCCGATAGACTGCAGCAGAATTTCCTGCAACGGTCTGGAGCGCACTCTACCCGTGAGGATCTTCCTGGACAGCACTCAGGTCACGTCACTAAACACGGCTGAAAGTCGCTGAACGACCATCAAGGTAAGGCACCCAAAAAGAGCTGCCGTCTCAAGCTTGTGGGCATCAGGTGAGCATGGGTGCTCGTCGGTCAGGATGATGTACCTTGGATGCGGCTGACTGCAGCTGCACATGTTTTTGGCCCAGGCAAGACTATGCTGCAGTTCGCGGGTAGCATGCATGCCTGATGCACTGCCTGCAGATTGGGTGCAGCATCACGCCCAATGACCAACAGTCGCACTTGCACCCATAAGGGATGCTTTTGTCGATGACTTCCTTGCCACTTGGTGCATCTACTTCATTTGCCCTCGTCATAGGAGCCATGATGTGTGCACACTTTGGCTGGCATATCTCAAGCTGTAGAAGGTATTTCAAACATGAGCTACCAGATTTTTGCTGGAGCCCCGTACTGCAAACCTTGCGCACTGTGCAGCCCTGTTGCAGGCGCCACAAAGAAGCGGGTGCCCAGCTGGTCGTTGAGCCAGGTGTGCTCGTCTTCTCCTTTCAATCCGCTTGGACTGAATACGGGCAAGTTCCACGAAGATGTGGCGAGCTATAGTAAGTTGACAGTTTGTGGGCTGCATCCGCTTCAACCTGCTCACAGCATGACAACTCACAGTTTTGAGACCAGCACACTCCAACTATCACAGGAACCTCTGGCCCATTTGAAGCAGAACCCTCGCGTAGGTGTAAGCAGGCTGTCTGCAAATTTTCGGCCGCCTTTTGCTGCTCGCCTGGCTTCTGATTGGCAAGCTGCCCTGGAGGCCATAAAGCAGCCGCACAGCCTCCTGGCAGAAAGCTTCTGCTGGTCCGAGTACGAATGCTTGCTTGTCGTGATCATCTGCACTCCATCAACCACCCGCTTCAGAACGCCGGACATCCGCTGATGATACTAATCGCGTTCGTTCCCGGGGCAAATGTCTGCAGGTAACGAAGTTATCTTGCACCTCCGGCGTAAATTGCATCTAGCATCTCCAAAGCCTCTCGCCACTCTTTAGGCATCAACATCCGGCGATTTCCTGCCGCAGGGAAAGGCGTACTCGATCCACCTGTGGATTTGGCCCCCTTTGGGAGGCTGCGACTGCGCGGATCAGGACAAAGAATATCATCCCCGTCAATAGGCAAGTCCTGCACATACCGTGTTCCAGGGCGGAGCATTGCCGTGTCGCTCTTGAACATGGATCCAATGTAAGGCATAACGAGAGGAGGATTGAAGGCCAACCCTCTCATGATTGGCGGAATCTGCTCGCTCCACTCCAAGGCACGTTCATTGTACTGCCCATCCATACCACAACCCATGGAAACTGAGAAAAAATCATCCAACGGGATCCTCGGCTACTATGGTGAAACAAGAAACGAGATGCTCAGCCAGGCTATTTCACCAAGCCACATGTGCTGCTCAGCTTGGGTTGAAAGGAGCTCTTTGGCTGCGTCCAGGCGGAGGATGTAGCCAACAGTCCACAAGGTATAACCGGGTTGGACGACATGCTCCGAGACATTGCTGACATCGTTCTCCATTGGGCTCCTGCCCACATACCTTACATTTCGTCTCTTTGCAAACTAAAATGGCCGGAAGCCAGTGTGGTGGCCAAGCAGCATCAAATTCCAGTCAAGTCCTTGCACTTCGGCCAGGTACGAGCCTTTTTGGGAGGGTGCAAGAGCTACATGGCTTTCACACCCCTCATGTACAAAAAAGCGGAACGGACTGATATCTGCCACAGAGGTAACCTAGCCGATCCTTGAAGCCTTCCTGGAAGTCAAAATCATCCTCCAGAATCATAGCCGTGGGGATATTCTGCTCCACCATATGCTGCCAAATGGAAAAATGGCTCAAAAAGCAGCCCACCTATTCAGCACAAATCTTGCTGATTCACAAAATACATCAGACTGGTAGACTGTTTTGCAGGAGAGCATGCACGAAATACATCGGCCTCCCCGGTCGTGTACGGCATGTTGTGGTTGCTAAAGCCAGATCCATATCCGGGCAGGATCCGTGCACCAAGGGCCTCTGAGCAGTTTCGAATAGTTTCGAAGAGGCAGCATCATCACGCTTCTCTGGTCACATCAGTGGCATACACATGACACAGGCCACATAATTACATGAACAGGACACATGTCCACTCTGTTCCACAAGCAATGGCCTCCACGTCTCTCTGGTACAAAACTCCGTCACCGTCCACGGCATTGACAAGAGTTGCATTCCTTGCAGGCCATGCATTTCAGCTAGGCGCAAGCTAAAACGTTTGGACTACACCTGCAGTACTGGATTTGCCCGTATGCATCCAAAGCACATCTGATGTTCTTTCAATTGCTCCAGCACCCTTTTCTGCTTCTCAGGCCTTCGGGCGAGACTGATCACGAAAACGTTCTCACCCGGGTCACCCAGCGATAAGCCACCTCACAAGGGCCGAAGACAGGGCATGTCGGGTTTGCTGCATCTTGTGTTCAAGGTCTTGGCCACATCAAGGAAGGCTAAGGGAGGCCCAAATGGTTCCTGATGAATGCTAGTGATTGTTGCAATTGACTCAAAAAGGGGCATGAATGGATGAAGAAACGTCTCCCAACTGATGAGAAACCGCGAATCAGAACAGAACAGCCAGCAACGGAGCGCAACACTACCAAGCACCTATCTGGTGGTCGCTGCCTGGCCAAGGACAGAAGCTTTGTCGGTCAACATGCTGCACACGTCGCATGTCCTGGCAGGCTCACAGCCGGATCCCAAATTGACAAAAGCAAGGCCTGCAATGAATGTGTTTTGTCATGGTACTGTACCGAAACATGTGGACAACGATGCTCCCTGTCTGGCTGCCCCACCTCGTCCAGGAGACGTGGCCAGCGAGCCAAACGTGCTCGTGCTTGCGTGCGCAGGGTTCCTTTTTGCTCATCTGACAGGTGGTCGTCCTTGCTGTAGCCTGCCGCACGTTCCCGTTACCGTCTGATAGGCTAGAGACCCTGGGCCACCTTATCCTCAATCCCGCAGTTCGAGGTCATGTACCGCATGCTCACTCAGCAAAGCAACAAACGCAACAGCAGCCTTTCTGCTCTACCCACTCCATGTTCTCCATGGTGTACTGCAGCGTCCCATCATGATACCTGTGAAGGAGAGGCTGGTAACATGAAGGCTTTCGAGCTATACGCCCGGAAAACGCTTGGCCGTTGAATGTGTCACACCAGGCATCTCCTTCTCTTCCTGATACTCCACCCCCCTCTTCCTCCTCTTCTTTTTGCTCCGCCCCTGTTCTCGGGTGCCAGCACTGATACAAGGTCCACATAATGAGCTTTGTTTCTTCCAGAGCGGAACATGCTATTCTGAGTATGCTTGGCTTGTTGTGACTTCTGACTTCTCTTCACCCATGCAGGGCTCAGATCGCTGCCCAATCCGTCTCAGGGCTTCCGATCCGCCAAGGTTAGGGCTCTGCGGATGGCTTCTCTAAAGTGGGTGCTGAAAAAAATCCATGTCAGAATGAAAGAAGCCGACGTGCACGAACACACAAGTGCAAGTAGCTGACTACAGCCGATGGAAGTACACGGATGTCCTCATCATCGTTGCCAGTATCTGTTGCGATACTTGTGCATGGATTGCGACAGGCAATGGCATTACGTAGTGATACAATACTAGCATTTCCAACTCTGAGTTCTGACATCACGTCTCCATTTCCTGTGTATTTGCCTACATACCCGCACGTTCTGCAAGCTAGCGGAACAGATTTTGCGAACGATGGTTCCTATTGTCTCGACTGCACATGTAAGCGCCCATCGAAGTGAATGGATAGTTTTTTATCAGCAACAGGTTCAACCAGACCTCTTGACGCCTTCAAGGCCTCGCAGAAGCATCTTGTTGGGAGCTAGCTTATGAAGTCCAAACCCATAGCTGCGGAATCCTGGACAGTGTTCAAACGGATCCTTTTAACTCTAAGCCAAGCAGACTTGGATTGAAAATGCTAGGGAGTGTGACCTGAAGCTGTGTTTCTTGAAAATGCTGGCGTCTTAACACAAGAGTTTTGATTCGAAAAACCGAGTGCTGGAAGCAAATGCATGCTTGATGCACGAACTAGCATAAAAGGTTGTCCGAAACCCGTTACAAAAATATGTAACTTCAGAAAGCACTGCTTGTCTCTAAACATGACTTACTGAATTTCGTGCTTGATCAACAAACTGAACAAAAACTTGTTCTGAATGAAGGTAGCTACGGACAAAGGTTGTTGGAATTTCTACACGCCCAGAGTTTGAAGTTTATTCTTCTTTCTGCGACAATTCAGATTTCTTTGCAAAACTCCAAAAAAGTGTGACTTCATCGACTTATGCCAAGCGTGCTTTTGAAGACCGGGATTCCCAGAATCCGTTTTAATGTTCTCTTTTTTGCTAACGCCGGGCGCGCAACCTATGCGGTGCGCGCATTGGCGCCTGCTCTGGGCTGGCTAGGTCTCTATAAATGGAGGAGTATGGGCGAGGTGGTCCTGTATCAGCTCGTTCTAGGCTGGTCCAATATTCTCGGAAAAAGCGTTGCGTTGTGGTCTCTACTCAATAAGCCTTTTTTCCGACCCTTTCTCTTCCCGTCACTGTGATTCTATCTCTAAATGCTGTCGCGAACACCACATTGTGTAAAGGTCTAATGTTTTTTAATGTTCTCAATTGTAGTGGCGAGAGGAACGGTGCCTGTACTGAAACTTGCCAAGTTTCAAGGCAAGTGCTCTTGTCAATCAGTAAACTTGCTAACGAGACATGATTTTCAAGATTTGGCGCGTTTGACATCGATCAACGAAGACTTATCTCTGCAACCGCTGAAAAATGGGGGGGGGGTTCTTCTTCACAATGTTGGCAGATCCAACCTCAAAAAGCCTTTTAGTGTTTGGATGATTGATACGTCCAATATACTAACAACAATTTGCCATCTACTATTCCGGGTGATGAAATCAAAAAGCAGGATCTTTGCCAAAAGGCGGTGTCGTCGTCTATGGCCATGCTACCTTCCAGCAAGCACCCTTGTTTTTTGGGTATGGCTTCTTTGCGCAAAGCGGGACACTTTAGCTTCGGAAAAAAGTTTTCGGCTGTTTGCGATGCTGATAAGGCATGCATCGCGCAAAATGCTTCTCGGGAGAGGAAGATCACAAGCATCGTTTTCCAAAGAAACGGAAGGCCTTCTCCCCAATACAACTTTCGAATTGGAACTTGTTGAAAAGACGACAACTGGCGGCTCAAGATTCCAAGAAACAACTTGCAGACTGCAAGTTTCTCAGCATGTTGTTTATTCCATTTCTACTGTGCAGGTTGCTCGGTAAAAGCTCACTTGTTGCAAGAATGATTGAAACCACGAGTTCTTCCAAACCCTCAAAGTGTCCAGGAAAGAAGCACTATTCTGCAAAACAGAAATGCAAGCTTGCCAAAATACACGGGAAATGATTTCGCCGAACCACTGCAATAAACATTATGCATCATATGAAAACGGAGGTATTCTGGAATCAGTTTTCTCAAAACGCTAACAATGGTTTTGGAAGACAAACATCTTGCAAGATCCCTGGTTCTCGGCAGAAAACAATCGGAGCATGTTCCAAACATTGTATCCAGCGAGATACTGCCAATGAAGCCTAGCCGCCTTTGGTGCAATGCGGTGGTCGGGTCGGTCAGGTCATGCGCACGCAGACCAGGGCTAGCCTGTCGAGCGACTTGTGCAGCTCGGCCCAACCTGAAAGGGAAGCGCCAGCGACACCGACAGCAGGCAGTCCACATTCAAGGGTTGGTTGCAACATCCGAATACATGCTCGACATCCTGTTCACGTTCATGCTTTTGTTCATCGGCATCCTCCTCACGCCCAGCACTCGGAAGGCACCATGAACCAGCATGGCTGCCGCGCCAAGTGATCGAGGACCATGGGGATCAGCCGGCGCGCAGCGGCGTGAGAAATGTCCAGGTGCCACTGAGACCCAGCTTCTGGGCAAGGTCAAGGCCATGAGCAACTCCAAACTGAGCCAAGCTAGCATCAAGCATCCAAAATGCGGTAGTCACTGGTCCAAGGTCTTTACTAGCATGACGAGACTCGCAGCGCAAGGATTTTTGGGTAGCTCCAGGTTCCAGGAGCTTGTGACAAGGCTATCACCACTGACAGCTAGATAGCGTGATGCGCCTGGCATTTGGTTTTCAGGGTCGACATAACCAGAATCAAGGGAGGATTGTTGCTCGGTCTGGTTAGGTACAGGATTCGAGCGGTTTTCGAGGAAATCATGTACGGATTTGCTCCATATGTTTTTAAGCGAGCTGCACTGGCTCTAGCGGGCTCAATCCTTCGCTTGTTCTGAGTGTGCGCAGCTTGCGCAAGTACAAGAAACTCCACGGCATGGAGGTGAGGTCGAGAGCCCCTGTAGAAAGTTAAGAAGCTTTTGAGTCCATGGACTGGCTGCAGGCGACAGCCCCATCAGAGATCAAATTTCTGACGAACACGCTTCGAAAACTCTAAAGACTGTCCTCTGGAACGGATTGCTGAAAGCCCAAAATCGATGACCTGACGGTGGGTGGACTTGACCGTACCAATACTGTGACATCTTGTCCTGTAGTAGTTTCGCGGGTATGTCAGGCCTTGCCCACCTTGCAGTCGCGGATGCTCTCCTTTATCAAGCAGTTCTCAAATTTGAGATCGCCTCGGCTGGGGCAGTTGTTCTTGAAGCTGCAAACACGCAGCAACGACTCACGACAGTGCCAAGAATCGGTGTGCAACACCATGATCGTGGCAATATGCGAGGGCCTTAACAAAATCTGTGGCAGGTAGGCTTTCATGTGGCGCATATGTTCTCCCAAGTGCCTTCACCACATCTCGAATCAGCAACTTCACTTCCTCGCCAAACGCAAGTGAAGTACAAAAGGCCAACCCCATCTTTGAGACGGGATTATGCCTCAACATGCAAGGCTTACATGGATTGAATTGCAAATTCTGTCGGAGAACCTCGCCCCTAATTAATTACAATGGCCAATTTGAGTTCCCAGCTTCTTTCAAAACAAGCGGATTTTGAGGTCTTTGGATACATGTCTTACCACTCTTGTAAATGGTGCCGTGCAGTGCTGTCATCGCATAGGAATAGCAATCCGGAATAGCATGTCTGCACTAACGTGTTCCTTCGAGATGTGCTTGCTCACAAATTCTGCCGCAGCAGCAGCTGCAGCAGCCGGAGTAGTTGCAGCAGCGACAGGAGAAGCGGGGGATGAAGGAAACTGAAAGAAGTTGCAGCAGCAGCGGCAGCGGCAATTGCGACAGAAATACTAGTACTACCAAGTGTGTACTTTGTAACCCTCGACATGGTAAAAGAAGCCTGCATCTCCCACGCAATCCCTGCACAGCAACTCCTCGCCTGGGGGTCATCGATGCCGTGGTTCAGCTCTGAAAAGTCGCCACCGTCACAGAGCTCTGTGACAAGGAAAATGGCACTTTCCTCTTGCATGACGAACTCACAGCACGCGAAACGTGCAGCGCTGCGCAGCGTTCAGTCCCTTAAATCTTTTTCTGGGGCCACAGTCTACCTGCGCCAGTCCTCTTCGAAGTGCTCCTTATAGCTTCATGCAATCCATCAGAACATTTAATCATACATTCAACACCATCAAGCACGCTTGCTCCAGTGGAAAATGTTGGAAGCAGGGCTCGTAGAATTTGACGACATTGGGATGGTGCAAATGAATCATGGCTTCCAGCTCCGCATAGACCTGGGTAGCTCCAAGCAAAAACTTCGCACAGTTGTTCTCCCAAGTTGACACACGAGAGTGGCAAAAACAGAGGGGCCCCGCAAAGGCCATGTCATCTTCCTCAGCTCCATAAAACAATCTTGACGTGACAAATCTCTCGATACATTTTGCAGACAGGCGTCGACATCAGTCAGAGGGAGCTTCCTTAAGCACAAGCGGTATTGTAGATGCGGCTCTGCATGCGGACAGGGGCCATGGAGCTTCCCTGCCTATGGGCTTACAAAAACTTAGATGGTCTTCTCTGAGTCAACTCAAATCGAAGCTATGCCTGCGGCTGAGCGACTTGATGGCACGCCACTCAGCCGTCAGGCGGCACTGAGCTTTGTAAACGGAACCAAACGCGCCACTCCCCAGCTTCCGCAAATTCGTATAGGACTTCCTCACGTCGCTTGAGCTGCCATGTGCTAGCTCCAAACGAGGCATATTGCAGCTGCTCTGGGAGACGCAACATTCTTGGGCCCCAAATTGCCTGACTGCTGCAAGCAGTCAAAGACCTCCTAGCCACAACCACAAATCAAATAATGACCATCTCTGGCCAGCATAAAGGCACACGCAGAGTGTAGCTTGCAAGCCGGGAGTCATCATGCAACCTGAGCAGGCACGTGATTGTGCGCAGAACTATTTTGCAAGATACAGCACGACTCTTACTAGGCTTCTGTCATCCGAGGAACGATTTGGATCAGGTGCAAAGAATAGGGACTTGATGTCCACGTTGCTGCCATGCTTGCCATTGTACAATGCATGACCAGCTGCCTCAACTCAATGGCACAAGAAAGACTTATTGTACAAGCCCTTTTCCAATAGGTCATTGTTACGTGGAAATCGCGATGTTTTCCAGACAACAGGCAGTTTGCAAAAATTGTGATGAAAAACGTTATGACTATCCTTAAGTCCAATTTTCGAGCAAAACCTGAAGAATCCGTTTTGCCAAGAAACACCTGCGGCAATCAGAAAACCGCTTCTCCAACAGATTCGCCAATCTGAATTGTTTTCAAAGGAGCATACCAGAGGACCGATACCATGCAGTGGCACAAACCCTTCGGAATGGCCAGAGACTAAATTAAAGCTAACTTTTGTTTAGTAGAATGCTTCATCATTTGTCTCTAAAAAAACATTACTGGGCGGCCGGCGTCTTCCAGAAATTGATGTCTTCATAACAGCCTGAAACCCTGCAAACGAACCAACCCTGCAAAAAGTAGTGAGCTTCAAAGTGGAGGCTTGAAGTGAAGCAAGGTAGCCTATGATATACTATGTGGGATCCGAGCGGCTAGTCTTTCCCGCACCACATTGCCAATGTCTCTCCGTGGCTGGAGCCAGCTAGGGCGCCAAGCCTCATTCCAGCTGTCGAACCACAAGCTGTGCAAGCGAATCTTATGCAGACATTCCAGGTTCGAATCAAAGCTGCTTGAAAGAGAGGCGCTTCCAGTTTGATTTCAGCCTAGCCCTTCATGTACTTTCGACGGTAACTCACGTCCTACCGCAACTGTTCGCAACAACCTCTGCCCTCTCAGCTAGGCACGAAGGGCCAGCAAGCTGACACATAGGTGACAGCGCCATCCCAACCTGCAGCTAGCATGGCATGAAAAAAGTGAACCGAGGTTGCAGCCCTGTTGATCGATTTCATGCTCCATGGCACCCAGAAATAATTCAAAAGCCGAGCCACAGCTACTGCCCCTCTGGCTATGTTTGGACATCTCCGTGCTAAACGCGCCACGGGACAGCCCAAGACCGGACAATTGCAAAGTATCTGCTTAAGTGCTAGAGTAGGCTGGCATCAGCTTAGCTTCGGCTGACAGCTAAGGAGGCCCCATAGCCATCCGTTGGAGGCCCAACTCCTGACCCTGAAGCAAGCGCTGAAAGCTAAACGCGCTGAAAATGAGCTGCGAGCAGAGCACGGCTAGGACTCAAGCACTCGCAAGCACTCAAGCAGGCAAAGCAGGCAACTATGGGGGCCAACTCATTAGACGTGTTTCCTTTCTATGCTGCATCTGTCGAGTGCCTCGGCACAGCGCAACCTCATTGCCAATAAGGTGCAAGCGCAGATCCCACAGGTGGCCCACCATGTAATTGAGTTTCTAGGAGTGTTCGGTACCTTCACACCTGGCAGAATCATGCAGCTTGAGCGACCGCTGGTGGAAGCTTCTTCGAAGGCTTCACGAGGGATCGCATAATGTTACTGAGGGTGAGGAGAATGGCTGGTCCACACCAATGCTACCCTTCCTTTGGAAGGCAGCAACGTATCTTTGGCGGACACTCACATCCACGCACATCTTCTTCGAATCATGTTTTTAGCCCAGATTGAAAGGTCACTGGTGGCAGCAGACCAGAGCAGTAGACGTTGCCAGGCCGCTGCAGTTAGCTACATGATGCACCTCAGCTCAGCGACAGCAAGCAGCCCATAAAACCAGCGGCTGCATGCGTGCTGGCGGAACCAGGCGATGTCGAAGAAAAGCTCTCTTACATGAAGCTCAATGTTGTTCTTCATAACCCTGACCGATGATCAGTGACCAGACAAGGCTGTGGAACGAGGCATAAGGCGCCAAGGCACTTCTGAAGCATCTTCAAGAGAGTTGCTTTGATCTCGGAGTTGCACGTCTCCACATCGCAGCATAGCTTGACTTGCTTGTTCCTGCACTGTCTAGCAGACATACAAGATGACGCACTTTCCCAAGCCTGCCAGGTTGAAAAAGCTACTGCTGCTACTACTCGGTCACGGTTTTTTTGCGCCGCTTGGGCATTTGGCGGGCTTCAGGCAAATTCTAATTCATGAGAAGAAAATCGGTCGCAGCTTTTCCAAGCTAGCCTTACTGCCATTTAGAGCACATTGTGCCTTTGCAGCAAGATGACTAGATTGACATTTCAAAATATCAGCCAGACTGTTTCAACAAGTGGCTTCCAACATCTTCAAACTACATCGCTAAATACTTTTTGCGACAAAACTTCACATTGATGTGCTGTTATGTTATGATTTGGTCGGAAAATCTGCTTGGCGATTAGTTCGAGGCTAAGCTTTTTGATTGTAGTCCTCACAGCGGAAACACCCAACATAGCACAAAATCACAAGGTACTCTCAGTAGCGTTGAGGTTGGCTAATTAGTTTAGTTTGGGGGCGCTAGGACACACGGCAACAACAAAACTGGAGCCTTAACAGAATGCAATATTGCAATACCTCCAGCCCCTAGACATCCCAATTGACCAACCTGAAACTTCAACAGATCGTTACTATTGCCCCCAAACCCCAAGACACGGAAACTTCAACAGAATGTTACCCCCAAACCCCAAGACATTAAAAATGGCCAAAGTAAAACTTCCACAGAACGTTCCTCCCAAACCATAACAGCACATCCCCAAACAATCAAAGTGAAACTTTAACAGGATTGATGACCCCACCAAACCCCAAGCATCCCACAACAGCAACAGCACAAAACACGCAGGCGGCCTGCGTAAGCGCCAGGCACCACCAACACCACCACCACCACCACCACCACCACCACCACCACCATCACCACCACCACCACCACCACCACCACCACCACCAGCACCAGCACCAGCACCACCAGGACTTTTCTGCTTCTGCTGTCGCCACCACTGCCACTGCCGCTGCTGCTGCTTCTACTACTACGATGCTGTTACTATAACTACTACTACCACCCACCACCACACCACCAGCAGCACCAGCACCAGCAACAGCACCAGCCACCAGCATCAGCACAATCACCAGCAGCACCAGCACTAGCAGCACCAGCAGCAGCAGCAGCAGTAAGCAGCAGCACCACCACCACCAACACCCCCACCACCACCACCACCACCACCACCCCCACCACCACCACCACCACCACCAGCGGCAGCAGCAGCAGCAGCAGCCGCCGCAGCACCAGCACCAGCACCAGCACCAGAACCAATACCCACCAGCACGAGCTCCGGCAGCTGCATCAGTGCCAGCGGCACTACCACCACCACCACCACCACCACCACCACCACCACCACCACTATCGCCGCCGCCGCCGCCACCACCATTATCAATAACACCACCACCACCGCCACAATCACCTCCTACTATGAACTACGACCTACTAAGTACCAACGACTGACTACTCATACTACTAAACTGCGATCTGACCAACTCGATATCAAAAAGGCTCACTTGGGCAGCCACTTCTCTTTGGTCTGCTTGGAGATAAGCTGATTTCTGCAGCTCTTTCGAAGCAGATCTTGGACCTGAGTCAGCTCGGACCTGCAAGACCAAGGCATACCTGATTCGCAGCATGCACGAAGCTATCGATCGGGACAAGTGACCCCAAGTGTGATAGTCCGGACACAACCCGGTGAATGGTATTTAGAACCTCTTCGGAGCATGTTGCAACTATCTAACTTCCGCTGCCAAAGAGCCGTTTTTGAGCGCTCGCCGGCCATGTGCGAAGCTGACTGCTCGATAGTCATTGCCTGAGCTCATCTTGGACATAGGCCCACACTAGGAAGAGTGCAGCACACTTTGTGTATCGAAATAGCATTGGGAACGGCACCGCCATGTATTGCTGCCAAGTTACAATGTAGGGGTGAGGACGTAGTATGTCCAAGACAAGGCGCAGCTGCCGCATTCCGCTCTCCTCAGTCCCAAAAAAAAGGGGGAGACAAAGCGCTTGCTTCTTGCCTGCTGCTCTCTGACCACTGACATCTGCCACTAGATCACTACACACGAAAGGGCGATCGCGTCAAACAGGACAAGGGGCCTGCAGCAGAGAAGAGCTGTTCTCGAACGAGATGGGCGACCTCTGGAAACACTGACCAGCTCTCGATTACAAGCAGCCCCTGCAGCACAAGCGCATCACTACAAGACATGAAGCTGGATGAGGTCATCCAGCTCGGCTACCTTCTGCCGCACGAGCTTGATTTGAGCCTGATACATTGCGACTTGTCCGATTGAAGAGTCAACAGCACAAAGTATCTGCAGGGACCTGGCGGAACCAGGTTTGAAGCGGATTCGCAGACAAGAAAACCGATTCGCGCATCAAAAAAAACGTATTGGAAAACCAGCAATAAGCCCAGGATTCGCGCATTGCCAGCGGATTCGCACGCCAAGCATTCAAGCACCGAGGGATTTGCGCACAAAAAAGGGCATTCGTGCACCATGGGTTTGCGCACTGGCCTGGGAATAGATTCGCTCACCAAAAGAAAGCACCGCGCGCCAAAGGAAAGGATTTGAGCACAAGAAATACCACAGCAAGTTTTTGTGTTTAACAACCCTTCGCCCCTTTTCTGTGCCAGCTTAACGCTACCACAGCAAGTTTAGGGTTTAGGGTTTTGGGGTGCTTACGGTGTAGGGTTGAGGGCGTTTTAGGGCTTGCGTGTTTGGGGCTTGGGAGCGTTGAAGAAAACCGCAGAGGAACGTTCCTGAACCCTAGACACTCCCAAGCCCTAAACCCAAAAACACCCCCAAACCCGAAATGCCTAAACCCTAAAACACTCCCCAAGCCGAAACCGCAAACACCCCAAACCCTAAACCCAAAACTTCCCTGCGCACTCAGGGTCCGAAAGTGGCCTGTGTTCTGAGGGAAAAAGACCCTAAGTGCTGCGCCTGCCTACACTTTGCCGCCTGCTGGGCAAAAGTTACGCCCCAGCAAAATAAAGTTAGAAAGAAGCAAAAGTTACAACTAACCCAGCTACCGACCTGGCCTGTGCCCTGCCCAGCGTGCTCTGGGGTCTGACGCCTTCTGGAAAATTTTCCTGCGCAAACTAGGTGCCACCGAGTGTTGTCCCACACTGGGTTGTTAACACACAAGCACAGATCCTAGTGCAATTTCTCTCTGGCAAGCCCCGCGCGGAAGCATGCTGTTGCTTGCTTGCACATCAACTTCTGGCAAACCCTATCCACTTGCCGGCTCTTCCTGCACGAGCTTGTCGAAAGCCCCATCCAGCTCCGTCATGGTATTGCTACCTCACATGAGGTTTTTCAGCAGCCGCTGCATTCGAGAAAAAGACGGACAGTGGTCAGAAGAGCGTTTTCAAGCGATTGAGCCGCATGGTTAGCCACCAAGCCACCTTTGACAATCTCCCTCGCTTGGTCTAGTAGTGTCATCTCGCGCAGAGCAGCTCGCGCAGACTCCAATAGTTGTTCATCAAGGCCTTGAACTTGGCAAAAAGATGCAAAACACTGTTCGAGTTTGCGCCGACGTCCCCTCTCATCTAACCGACCAGCTGCAAGACTGTACTCAGTCACTGCTTGTTGTTGCCGTTAGCACCACCCCACCTACCCGCATGACTGCTTCTGAAGCTCTGTCGGCAAAGGCAGACGCATTGGCTTTGGAAACAGCAGCACGCAGCGCATGGCCATCGGAAAGAACCATGGCACCACGGATCTCCTTTTCGAGCAGTGCCTTCTTGTACCTTTGCCGAGGCATGGTTAGATGTTGACCCTTCCCAAGCGCGAGTACTCAAACTTTCTACCTATTGGATTGGGCATCTATCGCCTGCAGTCACATCTGCGATGCATCATAAACTGCCCGAGGTGCAATCTTGTGGCCTCTTTTGCATCACCAGACATCCTGGCAGCATCAGCTGATCAGAAAGACATGGACTCGAGCACAGCAGGACAAAAGCTAGTTTCCTGTCCTCAACTTTTCCGCATCTTGGATCTTTTTGGGCAGTTCTTGTAATACTTGTGTGGAGCGTTTGGCGGCTGTTGCCTTGATCTCCTCTTGCCTCAGCACCATTTGCGTCTGCGTTCGGGGGGCATGCTTGCATTCTGCACATGACTTCCACACCTGAGGACCGAGCACCTTGGCTTTTTGCTTGGTGTCAAAAAGCGTCTGGAGAGCCTGCATAAATCTACACAGCTCCAATGTTGGCATCCAACAGAAAATGTCGGCACAGTGCGTCTATCTTCCCAAAGCTGCCTACTTTTCTTGCGCCATCCGACCTTCCCCGACGCCACTTGCTGAAGGCGCCTAGAGTCCCTGACCCCGGCCACTTTTGGCTTGGACCCCAAGTTTTTTACTGTGTTTAAGTCCGTCCGTGCCGAACTGGACGCTTCGATTCCCAAAGCCCGCCCCCAAACGTGCATTCCGGTGGGTTCCCCCCCGGCTACAAGGGATTACTGAAGGTTTTCTGGGTCCCCGAAGACCCCCCAAAAAGCATTATGAGCACAAACGTTTTTGAAAACTAGCCCCGAGGCCAATCCGGGCCCGCAAAGCCTCAGATTGGAGAACTGAGTCAAGATGATGCTGCTGATGATGCTGGCCTCCTTTGCCAGCATCATCAGCATCATTGGTTGTCCGTTTCTTCAATTTGACATACCCTGCGCGCCTCCCTACTACCCGCTCTGCAGGCACATGGGCGCTTAAACCTCTTAAATAATGCACCTGAAATTCTGGTCAATCAGCCAGGGCAGAAGCTGCGAAGCTGCAAGGAACGCTGTGAGCCTCCATCCGAACCTCAGCAAGGAGCTTGTCCAGTGAAGCCCGCCGGCCCAACTTTGCCTCCTCGGACTTAGCGTAGAGCCAACACGCAACATCAACTCCTCAGGACTCCTGTTGCGGATTCTTCGTGCTCTGGATAGCCGCTTCCAGCTTGCTAACATCTTCCTGCCTAGCACTGCGAAGCTCACAGCAATGCTTGCAATGCCAACCGATATGATAGAGCAGCTATGAGCAGCTTGCATGGCAGGCACAAAATCAATCTAGAACTCAAGCTAGCTTCATGCACGGCTTCTTGTTCCCACGCGCAGAGTCGTGGTGCATGGGGTTAAAGCTACACACGCCAGGGCACCGGCATGTACAGTGGGAGCCTGACGCAGAGCAAAAGAAAATCAGGTTTATGCGCCCCTTCCGCGGCCCTTGTTACCTCTGCCGCCCTTGCCCTTGTTCCCATGGAGACTGCTCGTCCATCTGCGGCTGTCATGTTTTGAACTGCTTAGATTGTGCATAGAAACGCCGTGACTATACTTGTTGTCATGTCTTGCCTTTGGAACCAAGCGAAGCTCAGAATGTGCAGCCATGGCATCCGCAGCAAGTGGTGGACCCCAACCGCCTGGCGTGCGCACCTGGACATCCACAGGGCCACGTCGCCACCCAGGGAGTACGGGTGTCAGGTAGCGCGGCAGCTGGTAGACAGCAAGATCCGACGGCACATCCACTAGGATAGGCCTGCCCGCAGCCAATGCATCACGGTGAAGTCGAACTCGAAGAGAGCCAGCGGCTGTTTCCCACTCATGGTTGTGTTCGACACCTTCTATGTGCCTTGTCGACTGACGTGCATAGAATCGGAAAGTCAGGTTGATTCGCTCCCGGCTCACGGTGTCGTCTGCAGGCAATGCATGGAGCCAGTGTGTCTGGCTGTTGTTGCCCATCACGAGCAAGGATCCATGCGTGAGGGGGATCTCAACATGCACGATACGTCCGTTGATGGGGCGCTTGCTCTTGAGAGCAAATCTTCTTGGCGCGCCAAGCGAGACAGAGCCAATGGTGGGGTTGGGTCCGAGGCCTTCGTCATCACCGGGGCCTGAATCGCTGTGCCAGTTAATCACAACACGACCGTCCGCATAATGATTGGCAACGAAGCAGTTAAAGGCAGCATCTGCTGCATCCTCAATTTGTCGTAGGAGTTGTTCGCTCCACTGCTGCAAAGGTGTGGAACTGACGCTGCCTGGGCAGACTCTATCACAAATCCTCGCCTGCCCTCGTTTAATCAAGGTTTTTGCAAATCCACCTTCTGGCTGCTGGAAGACGTATGTGGGATGGTAGAAGGTCACGTTCTCCTCAACTGTCCTTTGCAGCTTGTCAGCCTCTTCAGGCGCTAACCACTGTGGATACCACAAAAGTTCGGTACTGAAGGGAAATACAAACCGATAGGCCTGACCATCACTGAACATTTCAGGCCTGAAGTCCTTCCACTGGACCGTTTGCAACCGAAAGGAGGCACAGGTCACTGGACAGCGTGCCTGGCGTTCAGCCTCCGCAAGTGATTTGTGATTCTGGAAGAATCGAAGGACTTCAGCCGCCTCTTCTGCCACATCTTGATGCGACAGCATCTTCACATCCCAGTGGTCTTTCCACAGCAAGTGCCACACCTGCAAGCCCTTGACGGCCAACATCTCACAAAGCTGCAGGCGATGACAGCCACTGGGTTCATGCAAGTGCCCAAGCAAGCAAACTGTTTGATGCCTGGCTGCCTCGCACAGCTCGTCCACAGCGCCTGCAATGTCTCCAGCTTCTGCGGCCGCTTCGCCAAGCTCACGACCCCAATACTCGTAGCGAACACCCACTTCAGCTAAGGACCGCTCGAAGGCTTTGGAGCGCTTAAGCTCTTCTTGGCGCCCAGCTTGCGGATTTCCCCGTACATCAATGAGCCGCTGAATGCCAAGGGTCTTCAGCTGTCGCAGATACGCATCTAGGCCTACCCGCCATGTGCCGATGGTGTACAATTTGGGCGCGTCTGCAGCCAGAGACAAAGTTTGACCCGGAGCCATGGGGCAACAGGTACTGCAATTTGCGTCTACCAAGGTTTACATCTAGCTGTTGTGTCTTGGTGCAACTTGCAAAAGCACATGCTACAGGACGACCTAGGGTGAGGGCTGTCAAGCAGCAGCAGACCAGGCTTGCAAGCGCTTCCATGCAAAATCCGCTGCGCTTGGTCTGTGGTTCACCCCTCGACCTGCTGGCCACTGTGAGTTGGGCAATCTGCGAGAGCATGTCCTGAAGCGAGCTGTTGGATGATACATGCGAGGAAGACAGCCAGGCCTTAATAGACCTGGGGGAACATGTCTGTTTCTTGAAGCCAAGAGTCTCTTGCGCTTTTTGCCGTCTCCAAAGATTGACTGACAGTGTCTGTATCTAGGCCACAACGCTCTGCGACAACCAAGGCTGCCCTTAGTCACGGAACAAACTGCACAAACATCATGTCAGAGAAGCTTCTTCTTTGAGCTGAAACAGGTTGGTAAAGCCAGGGCCAGGAAGAAATGAAGTGGCGAGAGTCTGAAGGCACTCCTTGTCGCCACTCGTGCGAGAAGCCACAATGGCCCAGCGGCCAAGATTGCGGCCGCGAATGGGCCCATAGGCGCTGTCCACTCTCCTGGGCCCGATTGCCGACTGTTGACGATGCTAGTGATCAGGCCACTTTGGATCGAAGAAAACTTGCCAGCAGGATGCTGGAGCATGTCACATCGAGCTGGATTCAAAGCAGCCTCCTCTGATTTCCACAGCGCTTCTCGAAAGGCAGCTCCAGTGCCCTCAAGCAATCAAACCCTTCATCGCTGCAACTGTTTCAAAAGGAGCCCTCCTCCAACTTTGAGGCTCTCATCAGACAAGCAGCGATATCGAGCGCCGATTGTAGGGCTTCCGTTGCGCTGCCAAGCTTGTCAATGCGCTGCCTGACATCCGAGATGTCAAGTTGTGCTGAGGCAAGGACCAAGGGATAACTGCAAACGACATTTGCAACTAGCTTCAATACAGGGAATGATGGAAACCACTAGATCCCTCATTGGGACATGACTGCCTTCCAAGCTACACAAGTTCTGCGCCCTCCTCGTGATCTTGGAGCTGAGCCCTTTCAATCCAAGGGCGCAGAGTATCCAGTAGCTCCAAGTCCTGGGCATCCACCACCTGACGCCAGCCAGTTGCTGCAAACAGTCTGTTCACACCTCGCAGACATGCAGCGGAACCAGGCAGCCTCTTGCAATCTATCAATCATCCTCAGCAACAACTCGAAACAACTCGAACCTCCAAACTCCAGAAACATGACTACATGCATGGAACTCACTCTCCATGCCGAGGCTCCCATACTGCCACTGATTCAGGACCTTCCGGGTCAGCGATGCAATCTTCTTGGCCCTGGTCAGCTGCGCCTCCCTCAACCTGAGACTTCACTCAGCTTTTGAATTGGAAGAACTCACAAGCTGAGGAAGAACTGAGCTCAGGCGCCTCTCAGTGGCTGCCTCCCCAGCTTCCACGGCTGCATCCAACACCGGCCATCCTTGCGGCCCAGGCTCCCGTGTCTCTTACCCCCCGTGCTTCGCAGACATGCTGCCAGGGATCTGCGCTCATCGTGGGCCGCCAGACGAGAAGCAGCTTGAAGGCGTCGAGCAGCAAAACCCTCGAAATTGCAGGCTTCCCGCACCTGAAGCCTGCCGAAGCCATGCTTTCAAAAGGCGTGGTGTACCCAGAAGAAGAAAGCACGGCCTGCATCCTAACCTGACCAGCGATACTAATTCCATAGTACACCCCCCCCCCTTATATGTAATATGGGTTCCCAGAATTCCAAATTCTGAAGTCTGCCATCGGATCCTCTGAAAAAGGGATGGGCCTAGCATGACTCTTAGGATTAGGCATCTTTAATTTCCTAGATGTTCATTGTTTGTGTATGGTGTTTATAAAGCAATTTCTACAAAAGATGAATGCTGTTTTAATCAGGTTTCAATTGCTCTTGAATTGATTTTGATTGATCTTGTCACGATTTATTACGGGTGTAATTAGATTTAATCGGCTTTCATTCGATCTGATCAATTCTCATTGGATTTCAGTTAGATTTCAATACGTCTCCTATTATATACCTCCTCAATGTTCGGGTCGTACGATAAGTACCCCCTCAGATCTCAAATATGGGTCGCAGCGTATACGTTAGGATGGGGTGGGCGGGCCCTGTAATATTGGGGGAAAGGATTAATGATTAATGATACATTCCCTAAACATCCCCGGTTGCTTTACTAATTTTGTTCCCCATCGCACTCAAAGTAAGTCGATTTCGGGTGACTGTCCTCGGCTCAACGCCAGGGTAAGGTCATTGAGACGGGCCTGCGTCTGCGCAAGCTCCTCTTCTGCTTTGCGAGCCCGCTCTTTCGCTTCAACTAACTCAGTGCGAAGCCTAGCGTTTTCCAGCACCGGGTTGGGGACATACGCGCTCGCTTCAATTTCTTCCATGAGCCTAGCTTTGTCATTTGCAAGCTGCGAGACTTGTTGACAAATCTGCCAGACCACTGGCAAGCGCTCCCTCACCGCAAGCATCTGACTCATTGGCTGAGCAAGACCACTAGCTGAACTGGCCGGACTTGCTGGACTGGCCGGGGGTCCCATGCTGGAGACATCATCGAGAGCCCCGACTAAGGCATACTGCAAAGTATCTGCCAGGCTTCGTTGATCCAAGGCTACCCTCTCCAGCAAGCCTTGGAAGTGGTCTCGGACAAGCTGCGCTGGAGCATCGCAGGAGGAGAAGCGGCTAACACACAGCGGATCATGTGCCACTCCAAGGGCCGCCTGCAGCTCGGAGAGAAGTTCAAGACAAGCACCGAAAGCCTCAGACAGTTTGAGCTCCGCCTCAGTAGAGTCTGCACAGCGTGCATCGACATTCACAGGAAGGCTGGCGTCCAAAGGCACCTGACCTACCTGGCCCAGCTGATCTGCAAAGTCTTCTGGCAAGCCCTCTGCCCTGTGCGCGTCGTGCGCGTCCTCGGCCTTGGTCGGTGCCTTGCCCGACTTCTCCGCAGACCGTTTGTCTAGCAGACCTCCAAGCGACTGCAAATCTTGAAAACGTTGCTGCCCGTAGCTCGCAGCTTGCAGGAACTGCTGCTGCCGCCGTTCTTCCTCTGTTTGCTTCTGCAAGGCCATTTTCACTCGCAATTCCGGATTGTGGTACTTGAATTGTAGCCGCAGCTTTGGATATTCTGGCTTAGCCAAGAGATGAATAACCGCCTGCGTGAACATCATCTCAGGCGCGTAAGTCTCCAAGCTTTGGTTCGAAGGCAAAAGACCCAACCAGGTCTCCCACTCGTGGGGCGGTTGCATCAAGTTCTTGCTTATCACTGCCAGTGGCAGCACCATGTGCCACAAGAGCGCGGCACCCTCCTGCAGCCTGCGCCGGACATGAAGCTTCAGGCTCAGCTGCAAGGGACATTCCATGAGATCAATGCCGGTTGACTTCAATAGACCTGCACATTCGAAAAGAGGGCACCCGTCAAATGTAGTCAACTCGCTAAAAAGGTCGTCCACCGACAACGCTTCGGGAAAATGCTTTGCGTCTGCAATTGACACGTTCAGAAACGTCGCATCATCGAGCGTTTCCATGGACATTGCTGGAGGCTAGAACTATTTGGCTTTGCTTACTGAATAATGTCTGGCCTCCAGATAGCACGAAGGGAGTGGTGGTATATGGACATGACAACTTGCCGACCTTGAGCCCGTCGCACAATGTCTTGCATGAACTTGTGTAGGTACTTGACGCACCCCTGCCCTTGCAGAAGCTAGCCAGCCTCTTCTGAACAACTTGAAGCTGTTCCTTTGCGGCACTGAGTCCTTCAACATCGTCAGCAATGTTGGAAGCTGCCTTGGATTTTCAACCGAGGCATTGCTAAGCGGACAAGTTTCTTCAAAGTTTCGACTGATGCCGTCAAGCATCTAAATCATTGATGAGACGGCTTCGTTCAACAAAATTTGCCTCATCTCCAATCAATTGCAGATACACTTCATGCCTATCCTTGCATGTCATGTCCTCACGAAATCCAGGGTGCAGTCTTGCATGCTGCCTCAAGGTATCGAGACGCTTGCTGTTGGCGAATAGATGGCGTTCCTTCCAGCCTCGCGGGCGCAAACGATGCGGCACTGCTTGCTGCGTCTCGGTGCTTTTTTGCTCTGGCGGAATGATTTTGCTTTTGATGTCCTTTCCAAGATTTCTGGACCATGAAGCCGGCTTCGCGCGCCATGCACAGAGGGTCCCATGGCTTGACCTGGAGACCCAAAACCCGGAGCCAATCTGAATTGGCCTTCCCATACACATCTCACTCTGCCTTCCACTACCCTTACCACGTCTTGTACAGTCGTACAGTATGACATGGTCATGGGGGGGCGGCATTCTAAGACCCTGGTCTGGCAGCACAGGCAAGCCTGAAGCACAGAACCAGAAGAAGCGACCTTGTCGCCTTTGAACCTGAACGTGAGAATTGTCTGTGCAATGGCTGTGAGCAGGAAGACCAGAAGATCTCCAAGAAAGAGGGGCTCTGGGAACAAAGCATCCTAAAGAGCCATCAGAGCGCTTAACGGGTCTGGCTGGACCGTAACCCCGGAAACGGCCCATACACACACCTGCGGGAAGTGAGCAAGACACAACATCCCTGAGAGCAGCCAGCAGAACCTTTTACCGGCTTGAGAGCCAGCTGGCCGACTCCAGAGCTCGAGGCATTGAGGTTGACCTCGGCCGCAGGGCCTGTAAAAATCCCAGGGACTTCTTCAAGCCCTGAAAACGTTTTCCGCGCGATCCTTTGCCTCCATTGCAAGTACAGAAGGACTTCGGGATCTGGGTTTCCCAAAGCACGGATTTCAGGTTCTTCCTTTCCCAGACCTGCCCACGTGTTCGGAACAGGCACTTCAGCTCTCCCGTTGCTTGTTTAGCTGAGCCAAACCCCGGAGGCAGGCAATCGTTACGCACCCTGCAAACTAAAGCTTGCACGACATGGCTTTAAGTGCCTCAGGCAGGCCGTCGCATTTGCCGACTTGCGGAATGGTGAGCAAGGCAGAGAGCTAGATCGCAGTGGTGAGGATCCCTTGGCTAATACACTGGGCCTCTTCTGCAGCATGAGCGACCAAATCAAGAGGCAGGCTTTGAAGATCCAAGTCGCGCCATCATAAACCGAGTATGATGGGCTGGGGGAGTTCAGTGGCAACCGCGGAGTTGGAGAGAAGGCACCTTAAAGGCTGACTGTCTTGAGCACCAAACTATATCTCCGAGCAGCTTTCAATCAACTCCAGGGCAGGTTGTCTCTACTGGAAGACTGTCTCCATGCAACTCTTTGAACAGTGCGTGCGGCGGGAGTAAGTGTGCTCAACATCCGTGTCTGAACAGTCCAAGGCACATGTGGCCATGGCTCAGAATGCCAGGGACACGGGAAGTCTTGGCAAGTGAGGTCCGAATTGTTGAATATGTCTTTTGGAGCTTCCACCCCTGGAATGCTTCTCTAAACAGCATCTTCAAGTGGTACGACATCAGCCCCGCGTTTACTGCCATCTCCATGTTTGAAGCATGTTGGGTTGTTCAGCTGAGCGGAATGCGAGCTGGGCGTCCTTCAGTCGATGTATTTCTCAATACCCTGGCGGCCCTGGCAGAACGCCCCTGAAGGCCCTGTTTTTTTTGCGTGGCAATGTTCAGCGCACAGACAGGCAAAAGCTTGCTTTGAGCTTCTTCCAGCAAAGTTATCCGCACAAAGGAGTCATCCGAAGCCCTGATCATCAGGGAGGCACTGCCTCAAATGAGAAAAGCTCGGTCTCCCCTGTGCTACACGCTCAAGATTGATCTTTGTCTGTTGATCTTCTTGCTCAGATGTCATCTATAGTGAGCTTCACTTGGCACACTCATTCTCACAGGCGCATCAGTTGCCTGGAGACTGAGGCTTGAGCGCCCAGACAGGGAAGTAGACCAGGGATGTGGTATTCCTTGCCTGGCGCTTGGTGCAAAGTTGCAAGGGATGCAAGAGGGATGGACAAAGCTGTGCTGCTTGAGAGGATTGGGGCTCGACCCAAAGCCAAATCCATTGAGGCATACGCCCATCTGACATGCCTGCTGCAAGCAGGGCGGCTTCTGACTAAGATGTTCTCAGTTTGAATGTTGCCTAACTTCAAACGTCGAATTCATTGGTACCTGCATGCTGTGCTGCATGCTGCGCCAGATCTCCCAGATCAGATGCTACAACGGCGCCAACACCTGCACCACATCCTCAGGTAGGCACAGCAGAAAATGCACGGGTGAGCTGGGTGCTTTTAAACAAGCCGCTCTGGAAGGCTTGACACTTGCATGCCTGGATTAGATCTACAACAGAACACTAAAACCCATGTGTCTTGGTAATGTTGGCATGTCACGAACTTCCTTGAATCCTCGTGGCTTGTACTTGAGGAAAAGAATTACACAGCCTACTCTGATTGTGCACGTTTTTGGAGCTCCTAGGCAGGTGCCGTCTCTGCATGTCAGAACAAGACTTGATCAGAATGTAGCTATTTGACTTGCCGCAGGTTTGTTGAGAGACCTTCAACATCTGATCCCAACAATAAATGGACCGCTCAATGTCCAAGACAAGAACAACCTTTCAACCCGTCAACGGAGTTTACCGCATCCTGTCACGTGGCCACATATCTTCAAACATCTGCGCTGCAAAGCCGCTTCAGCATCTTTGCCAGCATAACTGAAACATACTGAAATGCGGCGGAGCGGCCATGTCGATACGAGAAACTACCAGACGTCACAAACCCCACCAGAGGCCGAATAGCCGAGACCTGCACACGCTGCAGCTACCACACTCGCATCGAGATTCAGCTGCCCGAACTCTGGTGCAAAACCGCTACTTCTCTGGCACTGAAAATCTTGACCCTGCTTCTGCTATACCTGGGCCACAAAGTATTGGCTTAGCATGCTACATCCCCCAGTTGCCCCTGCACCTCTGGCATTTTCTTAGCCTCCTGTTCCGTCTCTTGGGCACGCTGTCGTCTCAAGCGGTGCATGGTGTGGCGAGGCTCCTCAAAAGGAAACAAGGGCCACCAACAATGCATGCCTGTTTTTGTTTATCTTGATTGACGGAAAACACAGCCTCCACATCAACAGCGCGGGGCTCAGTCAGGCAGAGAACAGTGTGGGCAAATGTGATTCGCTTTTTATGATCCTGTGATCCTGCTGCGCACGCTGAGGAGCGTCATGCCATAAGAACAGGCACGGGCATAGCTGAGGACTCAGGCCGACTACCAAGCCGTCCTGATCCCTGGAGGATGGCACGGCTCAAGCACGCGCCCAAAGATCTGTGAAGCTCACGGACCTTCTTCTCAGAAGTCTCCTTTGGGTCCTGCTGCGCCATTGCCTCCACAGTTGCCCAAGGTGCACCACAGCTTTGCTTCCCGCCATCCACATGTTTGATGCCATGCTTTCTTCAAGCCCAGCTGCTAGATGTGCAATCCGCATGAGTGCCAGGACCTCCTCTGTCTCAAAGGGTGACGGGTCTTCGTCAAGCACCCCAGAGAGCTCGTCCTCCAACGGAAGATGGAACTGTGACAACAAATCTTCAAAACACGCACACAGCCACACGTCAGCCTGACCTGAAGCACCTGAAGCTGCACTGATGCTGAAGCGAAGCCATGAGACAACCTGATGAACCAACATCACTTGAATTGAAGATGCTCGCTCTAAGCTACCCTGCTTTGGCCGATTCATGGTGCTCATTCCACGGGGGAGCGAATGAATCCTGCTTACACACAATATCCTGGACAACATGAAGTTCAGCTTGCTGCGGCTGGGTGACAATTTTACCAACACCGGCGCCCACGATGCTGTGGGTCTCCCTGCTGCATGTAGCGCATGGCATCGCGCATACCTTGCTAGGAAGCGGGGCAAAACATGTTGTGACGGAACTTCAGCAGCTGTACCATTACCAAGGCCAAGATACTGAATGAAGAAATACAGCCGCGCAGAAGCTGGAAGGGTGGGAAGAGGAGCTGGGGCACCTGGCGGGGCCATAGCGGCCAATAATGCAGGCGACGGGCAGTCGTCAAAGGATTCTTCCAAGTTTGCTGGAGCAAGTGCAGCAAGTAGAGCCGCCATATCCTGCTCGACCATTTCATCACAAAAGTCCGAGATCTGAGCTTCTCCCTTGCTCAACTTCAAAGAACTCTCCGTCTCATGCTCAGATCTCTGGATCCCAACAACTGCCCAGCAGGCCCAGTTCAGGGCACCCAGTAGATCTCCAGATTTACGAAGGAGACGTGCACGCTGCCAGCAGTGTTGACGGCCAAGCTCAGCCAACTCTAGGTCATCCAGCACTGACAATGCTTCCCACAATTGTTTGTTGTCATTCACGGCATTCGCACAATACCTGTCTGCCAAGACTTGCAGACAGCGGGCAACCTTAGAAGATCCACCAGCACGCAGGTAGTTCAGAGCAAAGCGTAGTTGCTGAGGTGCTTGGCAGAGGTCTGCTGCATAAGCTATCAAGTGCCAGTCCCGCAAAGGGAGCGGAACGTCACTGTGTGTTGATAGCGGTAAACGCCCTGCGTAGTATAGCAGGTCCACAAGGTGCACCACGAAGAACTGCGGAAATTTGTCTGGCTTAGAGGTGAGTCGCTCCAACAGGGCTGGCACATCACATTTGACAGCTGCGACAAAAGCCCTGTCCACGTCATCGATGCTTTCATCCTGGCGGCGACGTGCAACTGCTTGGAGCAAGTCCCCGAGCTCCGCGCGTCGAAGGTCAGGAAAAACCCAAGCATGGGTAAACACGAAATCTTCCACCCAGTTCCGGCTAAACTTCCAGGAGACGTCTTTGTTGGCTTCAAAATCTGCCTGGCTAGACCTCGTGTACACCTCCAACAATTGACGCAAGGGATGTTTGTCTGAAATCTGGGAGGCGATGCTTTGCGCTGCGACCTGCATCTCGTCTATGGCCTGACAGAATTCCACACCAGTTGCCCCTGCAACTTCCATTTCTCGCATGGATGGGAACTTGGAGAGAAAGTCGCAGAACTGGGAAATTTGGCTATCTTGTCTCGCAGAGCTTCCCCTGAGCAGCTCCAGGACCTCATGCTTGCAGTCAGCAAGAGCCAATCTGCAAATTGGTTCCCAAAATGACGAATCCTCCGCCAAGATATCGTCCGAGGATGCTCTTTGCGCTTCCCGGTGCCAATCGGACACATCTTCCTCACCTTGGCTCCATGCAAGTCTACCATTCCGAGGGGGGCAGGCTCCCTTGAGCTTTGCTGCTTGCTCGGGTGTACTGAGGCGAGTACCTTCTAAGTAGTGTCTGCAGTACCAGCGCAAAAGTCCAGGGGCGGCGGGAGCAAAGCGGCGCAATGCTGTCTCTATAACCAGCTCCAGCACAGCAAGACAGAAGCACAACGTATCCTTAGAGTTGCAGGGATGGCACGTGGTCTGTCCGTGCTTGACAACATTTTGGCTAGTGCCGACTTGGGTCGTGCTGCGTGCTAAGCTCCGGGTTCATTTGGCACCGGCCAGATCGACGCAACCTCAAATGGATCGAGCAAGAATTGCAACGGCGTTTCAGTAGCATGCATCAACTGATAAACACATCAGCCAAGGCCAAACCTGCTTGACCAAAAAGGACAACATGCACCAGCCAACCAAAATACCGCGCATTCGATCCTGGCATTCAGTGAACCACGCTGTCTGCGACTACTCTGTCATTCGTGTGCGCAAATCGTTTCACGGAACTGCTTTGCGCTCATACACCGGTCGGAGACAGCAAAAGGGAGATACGCCCATACGCCAGTCGGGGTAAGCTGATTGGCGGGTCTGGGGCTGGGGCAGCAAGCAGGCCGACGTGCAACTCCCTTGAATCAACTAGCTGGATGGGATTCGGCTCAAACATGTAAACAACTGCTTGGCAAGGAATTGCAAATAGGAATGGTGTATTGGGTTCATCGGTGTAACGGCACGGGTGCGCACCGGTAGGTGGATCGGAACAAGGCTGTTTTAACCGCTACCGTCTCAACGGCGTGCAATTTGCTCTGTCAAGCTCAGGAGCGCATCACGCCCTGCGGCAATCTCATGAGCAAGGCCTTCGGCATAATCAAGCAGCATCTGCTCGGCAGCTCGGACATCCTGAAACACATGAAACAAAAGACAGGATATTGCAACCGTGACATGACCATGGCGCTGCTGTGCGAAGCTTGTGTTCCCTTGACCTGCTTCTCTATCAAATGATACCCCTTATCCACAGATACAGGCAAGCTTCCACGGGCTGTCGCGTGGCTTCCATCTGCTCATGCGCGCTCTTAGCCCGAAGCTGGAAGGCAGAAAACTGGGACAACAGGTCCGCGCAAAGCTCCTTCGGAGGACCAGTCCGCAATGACCGCGTCTTCTGATACTCGGGACCTAAAGTAGCCGCGAAGTCCTTGGCTCCAGCATGAAAAGAGAAAGACACTCTGCAGTTGAGCTGAGCATATCCTGTCATCTTACCTTCTGTCTGGAAGGGCAAGACGCAAAATCATCTGACTCGCTTGCGGGATCTCCCGTGGACAGTACCATGTTAGTGGCCATCGCTGTGTTGGAGCAAGAAGCTAGTGTGCAACTTCAGTCTGGTCTTGGGCTGAAACAGTGAAGCTGATGATCTAAAAACCTTGAACTGCAGCATCTGTGCTCTCACGGCATGGAATACGTCATGTCTTTCAAGAGCCACTTTGCAGCAAGCATTCAGAGATAGCAGGTCTGCAGCATTGCCTACATAGATCGACGAACAACCTGCAGAAAGATTGCATTGGCAGGTCCTCCAAGCGAAGGGCTTCTGGAGGACCAAGCAAAGGTGGCTGGGTTCTGGAAACAGAGAGGCTTCCTTCAAGACTGAAGTCAGAGATAAAAGCATGGAGACTGAGTCCGCGCTGGGGACGCCACGGTTGGGCCTGTCGGTTGTGCCGACAAAGCCTGCCCGGGTGTATGGAAAAGACATGAATCGCACCATTTCAAGGGTAGGAAGGGATAAGACGGAGTAGTGGCACAGTCCTTGATGATCCTACTGCACGGGCTCAAACACCGGTAGGCGTAAGCGACAAGAAACAGACTACAATCGCATCGAGGTCCGCAACCCTGGACTTCTCAAAGCTCACACCGCCTTTAGCTGCTTCAGAAACTGTTGGTAAGTGATCGCTGGGGCAACGCACCCTGTCCGACGTGTCCGGCCTGATGCTTTGATTTGCTCCAAATCCATCAAGGACGGTCGGTAGAGATGACACCTGCCTAACCAGGTGGCGCAGCAAACTTGGCAAAAAAAAGTTGAGGAATGCCTCGAGGAGTTCCTCGGCCAGCACTGCGAAGGGTCACTGGGAGCAGGCCTGACAAGCTGTTGCGCACAACCTTCCCCACTCCTCAGAAGCAACTGGACGCCCCATGCTTGGGGTGCCGAATCACTCGTCTGACCATCGTCATTGAGGGCAGGGGGCCCAGGCTCAAGCGGTAGCCGGTCCCAATGGGTTCTGCCCCATCCCTGTGCTGCGCTCATTGCCTACATGTCTTTGACAGTTTCACCAGTGCCTATAGGGGTTCTATTGTCCTATTGATTTACTTTGAAGTCAATGTTGGTTTAGGATTGGAGGACTCATGTGGCGGACGCAAAACTGAATCCTCTGCTCTGAGTGACTTTGGGCCCACCTGCACTCCCGCCAGAAGCAGTTGGCTCCACACTACAACAGTTGAACCACCTCCTATCGCTAATACCATTCTTGTCGTAGCACAAAAAACTCTTAGGCCCAGACTCTGTTGCAGAGAAATTTACAAATGGAAAAAATGTGTTACTACCACAGGTGATAGAGAAGAAAAGTCAGAGTTCATGTATCAAACATTGCCCCGTAACTTCCCACAAGCGCATTGCCTCCTCTTCTTCACCCACCACTCTTGCATCACAAATGGGAAACGATGAGGAGCCATTGAGTTAGGGGTTATATTGGGATAATGGAAAAGAAAATGGAAACTACTATAATGGGGTTATATAGGGATTATGTTAGGGTATATATTGGGATTTTATTGGGAGACATGGATCCGGGCTTTGCCCAGATGCTCCAAAACACACCAGCCATGCTCCAAGCATTTGGACAATCAGGAACCCCAGGAAGATGGCAGAGCCAGATATTCAGGACAATTCCAGCCTCAAAAAGATGTTCCCCTTCCTAGTGCCCCTTTTTTCCTCAGATCTTGTCCTCCCAGATTCGATCACTTTGGAAACATGAGAAAAAGCTATTCAGTAGTATCATGAGAACTCCATTCATTCCTCTCTATCTAAAGTTACTCGGCAAGCAGTTGACAGAAGATGCTACCAAAGGAGCTGACAGAACAGAACTCCACTCTTTCAGGCAACTCAAATTTGAATGCTAAAGAGTCAGAACAGCAGCGCAGATCCCTCATCATTTACGGTATCCAACTATTGTCCAGTATGTCCAACATAACACACAACATGAATTCCTTGCTACATGCAGCTGGTCTTGCAGACTCAGACGCTCAGTCCGTTAGCAGCCATTTGCATACCTCCTCCTCCTCGACCTTGTTACGCATCTTTTTGTGTAAGAATCGACCAGTCACTCCTTTCTGCAGGCGTTCAAATTGAAGAAGCGTGTCTGGCACTCACACTTCACGGGCAACAGTTTGCTCAAATTTGAAAGGAATCTCCCTTTGCAAGAGCGACTCGACAGGGTCCCCTTGATGGCAATCATTGAAGCTTTGAACAAGACTCCAGCAAGCGACTCAGCCCCAAGACCATATCACGAATCCTACCTAGGCCCGAACTAAACTCCTTGCGACTTCGGGATGACTCTTAACCTAATCAGTTCCCTAGGCATTTTGGAGACAAGATGAAATCATTCTTCATATTTGTCCAGGCCTTTACCCAAGCAGCTTGTCAGTCCACTACAGCTGTCCGGCTTCATCATAGCCAACAAACACATCTCCAATCTTAGTGCCGCAGAATGTCTTAAGTACTTCCCATACGACCTCTTCACCACAAAACTGGACCCCTCCCTTGCTTAGCACATTGCTGAAAACCCCTTCCTGGTGGTGCAGGGTTTCACAGGCCTGTTATCCAACAAGCGACACAAGACTTCAACATGAATTTGCGGATTATGGCAGGAAAGACTCTGGCAAATCAATGGTCTCCTCTTCCAAGCCTAGTTAAAAGCTCTAAACCCAGACCCTCTACTCGTTACCAAGGTCGTATCTTCGATGATATCAGAAAAGAGTCAGGAAATGGATAGAATCGAGCCTTACCGCAGTGTGCGTGACTACTCTTTCACCAACAATCCCTCCGCATGGTATTCCGAGAAAGCAGGCGGTGCCAACATGTGTGTTTCCCTGTCATGTTCTTTCTGACTCGCGGCAGTTTCCTGACCCGACATGACTCGCGGTCTTTTTCCTGACTGGTGCCTCTTGTTTTTCCTGACTTGTGCCTTTGGATTTTCCTGACTCGATTTTTTGTGCAGGACCCGTGCCGTCTTTTTGTTGACTCGTGCCTCCTCTTTTGCTGGCTCGCGCTTTTCTTGTTCCGAAGTCACGCCTTTTTCTGGACTAGTGCTTCGTTCACCCTGCACCCGTCATTGATAATTTGTTGAGGTCATGCCACCCATACTTACTATCCAATCTCGTCAGGCCAAAACACAAGCAGAATGAAGTGAAGGACTGGTTCGCAACAAAAGCTGCAGTCCTGAACGGGAGAACGTGCTTCGCCTGAGCACAGTGCACGACCAGGCCAAAGGTTTTAATCTAGATTGCAGTTGAACTCTGAGTGTAAGCTGCCGGCGGCCGGGAAAGCAACGAAAGCTGGCTCATCCGGCACAATTGGGGCCTGCGCAATGTCATTCATTCCGGGAGACGGTCGGCCAGCGATCAGCCACCAGCCTCTGATGAAGGTCCATGGCATTGTGCAAAGCCCCTGCACAACTTTGCCAAAAATGCATCATGCTAAGCAATGTGAAAACTTCCAACACACGTGACTTAGGCCAACACCCCAATCAGGTTGGTGAGGAGCCCGGACGCCGAGCCTTACCCATAACCCAGAATCCTTTTCTGCATAAGGCACAATCTGCACAAGTCAAGGCTTACCCAAGCAACTAGGTACGTCACAATTCAAAGTTAGGACGCTTCGCGGGGGGTCGGCGCTTAAAACGACAAATAGACTCCGCAGCCTGCATAAGGCTGAAAGTCAACTGCAAATCTGGAGGCAATGTCGCGAAAATAATGCAGCTGATGCATGCAGCATGCTGCAGGCAGCAAAATTGTTGGCAAAAGCTGCGGGTGCCTCTTGGTCTGCTTGCTGCTGGCCAGCTGGTGTGTCTGGAAAATCAAACGGAAATTCTGGCCTTGTTTCAGCTGACTGCAACTGGCTTTTATAATGTTGCGTGTGTTCTCCGAACGACTCCCTTGGGATCTGGCAAAGCGGCATCGGACAGAAGCTCGTGGCGATCACGCACACCCAATGCCCGGCAGCCAGCAAAGTAGCAGCGCAACCTGGAAGACTTCATGATAGGCAACATGCAGGCAGTCATGGTGCAGCGTGACCCGTGTGACTGGTACTTTGTCACACCTCGGTTTGTCTGAGGAACCTGCCACAGTCTCTGAAAAGCACCTGACAAAATCAAGTCGCGGAAAAACGCGTGGGAGCCCTTTCCGCCACTCAAGCTCTTGTGATGAAGCTCTGCTGAGAAGATTTCGTCCATGATGCACCAACTCGGCGCTGTTCATCTAAAGTCGGCTCGCCAAGGAGCATGATAGCATGAATTTTCTGTCAAGGCTGTGAAAGACTGGCCAGTGTCGGAGGTGTTGATACTCAGCTTCAAAGGATTACACAACAGCCAGAAATGTCGAAGTCCAAAACAATGAGGTTGGTTGCTCAGCAAATTGAGTTCTTGCCCGCAATAACAAAAATGTCTCAGTATCTGTGTTGATTGCCAGCAGCAACTCCTAGCAACTTCGGTCCGGATGCTGTGAGTGAACAGGATGTTTGCGGCATGTAGACGTGCCACAAAAACAACTTGTACTAGCGCGAGTGTTGGAGGTTTATCTGACATCCTCAGAATGGAAGATTGGACAGCCCATCGATCACCTTGCCATGTCAATCATTTCAAGATGTCATAGACGGTCACGTGCCTGCGATGTCAGCGCAACATATCATGTTGACAACTGTCAGCTGCCGCATGCCAACTTTAAAGGAGAATCGTAACGGTGCTCATTGAGTTTTGGGCACCCTGGCAAACACACCAGCTTTGCAAGGATTACAACTCAACAAATGCTTCCGCTGACTTGCGGATAACGCAAGGTGTCATGTGTAGCTCAACGAATGGAAGGGAAGGGAAGCGAGGGAGAGAGAGAGAGAGCGCACACCCAAATTGAAGCTGAGCATGACAAGCATAAGCTAAGGGCACCTGTTTCAAGGATCACGTCCACACCAGCAGCGCAATCAGCCATTTTGCCGCCAGCCCTGAAGATCAACAAGAGGCCGAGTTGGCTGCCATTACCGCCATCCTTTCCATCAAAAGCCCTACTGGCAGCGTCAGTCGTGCAAGTGGCTCTATACGCCCATGCCTCTTTGGAGCTTGGTGCATCCCACAAACTGCCTGATGCAGGCGGCGGGCAACGGGCCTAGGCGGCCTAGGAGCATTCCAGCATTCGAGTCCCGGACTATATTGTGAGTCCGCGGGCCAATGGGTCAACCTCAGGAGTTTCAGAGCCCTCCTCCCCATGTGGCACTCAGCTGGACTTCTAGCTTTCGTGCCTGCGAGCTTTAGCGTGTCGGCAGCGAGGATTGAGGATTCATGCTAGTTACTTCTTGAACTGGATGAAGCCAGTAAATCAAAGACATGACATGGATTTACCAATTTTTGCTGTCCATCTCATTCCTTCAGGATGATGTTGTACATGCTGGCGCGGCGCTGACTTTGGAAGGTCATGAGCAGATCGAATGCATCTCGAAAACCCTTTGTTCATGACACCTGAAATTCCACACCTTTATATCAATAGATCTCCCTCGGCAGCTTCCAAATATGTCCATGCCTGTGCCTTTGCTTGCATTCAAAAACGCACGAAGCCCTGAACTGCAAATGTCCAGATTCCAGGAATTGTTTCAGAACAAGGCTGAGGCTACGAATCTACCGCAGAGGGCAGGCATGCTACATACAGACTGGTCTCCAACAAACTGAAGTGGCCGACATGTCGGAAGGGTTCCCGCAAGATCTAGCAGCCCCTTGTTTCATAATTTCGTCCAAATCTCGAAGCATACTTTCGTCTCCACCTGAAGTTACGGTCATGCCAAAATGTCATCTGAAACTTGATCCGGGGCTGCAATTTTTTTCATGCAGCTTTTGTAATGTCTTTGGTGTCTACCACACAAGCACGGTTGCATCAAGGACACACATTTTTGGGTCGCTGGATCATTGAGCACACCATTCCTCCTGAAAATTGCCAAGACATGACCCACAATTCCTGAAAGAGGTTCTTTAGGTGCATGGGGAGCACCAATCCCTGCTTCGAGTGCCTGCAGCTCCGGAAACCCTGCAGCGGCAACACACCCCAACTTGCAATCAACACCAAATGGCTGACAACAAGCTGCCTGCCTCACTGCACCTGCATTACCACCACCTGATCATTGCACACCACACTTTCAGCCTGCAACAAGTAATTATGAGCCCATCGCAGCTCGCATCTAGAATCTAGCCAGCACACCAGCGGACAGCTAGGCACGATGCGTTTTGGCAATGCGGACTCCTGACAGCGAAGCCTACAAACACACGTATGTCAGCAGCTGCCCGCACTTAGAGGCCTGCACGAGTGTTAGTTACATCCTGGTTACATCAGACGTAGAATTGCTACAGCTCCTCCATTTCCAAAGCCAGAACAGCTCCATCAGGAGGAATCAGGCGAGTGCTGTCACATGCTGCCACGACCTAGCCACAACACCATCAACAGCATTGCACGTGCCGTGCCACAAACACACCGTCGAAAGCTCAACGTACCTTTTGCCACAGCTCCGCTGCCGCGGACGTGTGGCAAGCCTTCACTTAACAAAAAAATCACTCGAAAGCCACCTGGCAACTTATGTGCTGGCATGTCCCCACATTGGCAATATTGGCCTCTGGGGGCACTACTCGCGAGAGCACCTGCTAGCAAGCGGTGTTCTGAAGTCGCACCGCCGCCATACCGCGGCTGCCACCACCCGCACCACCACTATCACCATGAGTTGAAAATGGCGCAAGTCAAATACTTTACCAAGCTGCAGCCATGCCCACTGGCAGCATTGCATTGCAAGTGGATGGACGGGCGGATGGACGCACACCCCGTCAGAGTTTAGCCTTGCTTTAGCCCTGACCCAGTAGGTAAATCACCAAGCAGTATCAGCTGTGAGAAATCGCGTTTGGAGCAAATTGGTAATCACGGCCAACGGTCATTGGTGCCTGCCTCCACTGCCTTCGGCCCGGACAACTCCAAAAACCCCAAGCGGGGAACGGCTGCCACATGTGGCCTCGCAACTGGATCGCAGCACCACGCTCGTTGGATGAGAAATTAATTACCTTCCGGCCCTTACGCATAGAATGCAATCATTAAGCTGTGAAGTTGAGGTCTGCGCCTGCTTGCAATGCAACACCATAACTTGCACTTGCAAATCACGAGCTCCAGAAACAATTAACACATTTGCAAAAACCAGTGCTAGCCTCTCGGCCCATTTCTTGGTCCATTTTCTGCACGGCCTACATGTAAAGCCTTGGGCAAGCTTTCCTAAACATGCACCATTTTTTTTTTCATCACGTCCTGTGCCGACAGCTGCTCACATCACGGTGGGGGTGAACAGTCACACGGTTGTTGTTAAACGGTTCCCTCTAAAAACCTTCATGTTGACGCCACTTTGGAAGATTCGCTCTCTGCGTCGATCACCCAATTTTTTTGCCCCTGCCTATCATGGAAATCAAGCTTTCCACGCTGAGCCAACACACCAAAGCATCAAACGAATGCAACACGTGCCACTTACGCTACTTCATTGTCTGAGAAACCCACAACATGAGAAAATCAAACACACGCAACCGAATTCCGAAAACAGCCCAACCGTGACACAGACAGGTGCCAACCTGCCCAGGACCCAACACAAAACCAATGCAAATTCCATATCTGCATCCCATGCGTTTTGACAATAGGCAACTGAGGTGGATAGTGGCCGTTGGGGTGGCTATACTCATGCAAGAATGTTTGATATGGAACCCGGCACACCAGGCTTCCTGGCCGGGTGTCACTGCCCACACTGGCGACCTGCTCAGCTGCCTCACCCAACATTGCTTATGGCTGGTTCACGTTGGCTGGATTGTCCAAGTTCAACTACCAACCGAGCGCGTGGCAGACACCAGGTTGACAAAGACCTTGCACGTCGGGAACATTTTGCGTTCACACAGAAAAGCGGGAAAATTGCGTTGCCTCTTCGGCTGCGGCAGGGTGGACCCATATCCACAACTTCCAACCTTTCTCAATCGTTGGTGCTTCATGCAGCTTGCCGCTCGACATCTGAACATCCTCTTCAATCACAATGTCATGCCCAACATCCACTACGAAAGGCAACGTCTCTTCTTCGCTGCTTGGCTCGTCAATCTGCTCCTCTGGTTTTGCTCTTGTGCAAAGGGCAGGGCTCCACAAAATCAAAGCAGGAGCCATCAAGCGGTTTTCATCACAAGCATAAAGCAATACGCGAACCCGACGAGTGCCAGAGCGCGCCTCAGCCGACATTAATCTCTGCTTCGCGACACCACAATAATTCAGCACTTGCAGGATGGCCGTGTCAGACCCGAAGATTTCAAAAGCTTGCATATAGCTACGGTCGTGCATGGTGCAATACCGCGACGTGGCTCTGTAAAGAGCACGGGTTCCGAGACCGCAGTTTCGTCCTGCCAGCCGATAATTCCACAAGTTTTCCATATGTGTACGCTTGGCATGCCACACATGGGTTCCTAGATACTTGGTGATGTTGCCCCCCAGGACGGGCGTCAAAGAGGTGTGGGCCCGCAGCAGAAGTGCAGGGCGTCGCCAGTGTTTGCGCACTCGCACATGAACAGCGCCTGTGCTGGGAATTTTCTCTGACGCAATAACAGCGGCAGCACAAACATCACCACGAGAATTATCAACGGCGATTCTTCTGTACCTTCGCCTCTTGCATCGGACAACTTTCGCGTCTGCTACAACAGGTGGACGGCATCGCGATAACCCAACTGGTCGCCAACTTCTGGCACGGCGCCTCAAATGCCGAGGCACGACTTCCACTTGGCCCAAAGCCTCGAACAGGTCTTGTGCACCATCAGCTCGCTCTGCGGCAAAATCTTCCACGGCAATCGCGATGGGTGGCACAGTCCCTGGGAACTCTTGCCGTCGTCCTGTGAAGCGCTTGGCGTCCATGGCAGCAGCGTGCTTCCGAAAACATTCCACTGCTTGGTGCCAAGCCCTGACTGCAGCTTTGAAGATTCGGGGCCTCCAAGTCGCATCTGGGACCTGCCTGCCTTCGAGAATCCACCTGCTGGGTTACCTCACTTCCTATAAAATTGGTACTCAAATGAAATTACCAAGATGTACCTGTATGAGCTGCTGGCTTTGTCGATAGCGGTTACGAAGTTTTAAGGATGGCATGTGTTGCACGTGGCTGGGTGCCAGATATGCGTTTCCTCACAGGCTAAAATGGCTCCAGAAATGCAAAATTATTCAATGTTTTTCCCCATGTGCAAGCTGGATTGATGTGTTGCTCCATCACCAACGAACCAAGACCTATCGGATCTGAATCTGGCCGGCAAAGGACGGCAAAGGCACAACACAGGTCTGGGCCGGGTCTTGGCAATAATTATCGGCAGAACAATGCAGGCCTGAATTTAAAAACAATCGGGCCCACCATCCCCGTTGATGCAACGTGCTCCATTTTTGCTGTTTCCTGGGGTTTTTTTGGCTGATGTTTTTTACTCGTTTGGTCACTGCTTTGGGAAATTCATTGCCGTTTCCACTATTGACACCACCCCTCAAGTTTGACCCTTGTCGTTGTTGAACGTTTTTCGAACGTTGTTTTGTTTGGTTTTCTGATGCGCGAACCTTTTTGAAACCGTTTTTTGCACGCTCCCGGTATTGGGGCCAAGCCAACTCCGGGCCACACGCGGTAAGTCCATGGCAGTCCAAAAAGGTCCAAGTGTGTTGACGCCTGACGAAACCTCGGAGTTCGCAAGCGAACATGACACGGCGGTCACGCGGTGCCTCGCCGATCTACTTGCCAATGACCAGCCATTGCAACTCGACCCTCTGGCGGGCGGGCTTGGTCTCAGGTCGGCAACCGCTGGGGGGTGGGCGGCATATTGGGCGTCTTGGGCTGACACCTTCCTGCGTTGCACAAGCGCCGCCCACAGGTTGTGGCGGATGTTGGCCGTCGGGATGACAACATCTCGGTACAGCCCGCTTGCATTGCAGCACTTACTCGGGCGGCATCTGTCCTGCGAGAGCAAGGTTTCGCCCCGCCGCCGTGGGCAGAAGTCGCCCGTGACGGGCGGGCCGCCACCCACGGCGGCGGCCGCGAGTACTTGGTGACCCGCTGCGGGGATGGCAGCATTCTGCTACGGCCAACTTGGACAACACGGCGCTTGAGAGCCTTTTACGTGACCTCGATCCGGCATCTCGCGCCCTCCTCTTGTCGCAAGCCGGCCCTGGCGGGCCGCGAGCTGTTGTTGCCGTACCAACCGCAACGGAGTTCCGCCTCTCCAGCGACTGCATGCGCGTGTTGCTGCTGCGGCGCTTCCGAGAACCTTTGCCACATGCGCCCCGCCAATGCCGCTGCGGGGGCAGGCTAGACGTGTTGGGCGACCATCGCTCGGCATGCCCGACCGCCGGGGGTGTTGGGGCCTCGCGGCACGCCCCTGGACATGGCATTTTCTTGCGTGACATGAACATTGGGTAGCCGCTGGCGGACTGCTGCCGGGGTGAGGTGCTGGCCAGTGGCTTGCCTCTTTGGCAGCGCCCAGGTGGCCGTGAACACCACATTAGTGTGCCCGGTGTCTCGCCCCTGGTTCTGCCGCGCAGCAGGCTGCCCGCCGTAAGCGGCAGGTGGTGTACCCTGAGCTGGTTGCTGCGCAGCGGTGCAAGCTTGTCGTGCTAGCTTTGAGGTTGGCGGCCGCATCGACGCTAAGGCAATCGGGTTCATCCGACGCTTGGCGGCTTCGAAGACACGTGGCGCGCCCGCCCGCGTGAGGAAGGCAGCGCTACAGGCCAGCGGCCACAGATGGACAGGGATGCTGGCGGTGGCGGCCCAGCGCGCCTACGCGTTTTCTTTGCTGGAGTTGCCATTGGACGCGGCAGACAAATGCGACGGCACGGAACCGCCCTTGGCGGGGGTGCTGGCGGATGCCCGGGCCGCGGGGCCTGTGGCGCCCAGCCGCCTACCTACGCCGGGGCGGGCGCGCTGACGGTCGGCCAGCGGTAGGTAGCAGCCGACCCAAGAAGATCATGTCGTGCAGGCATAAAAGTCCGGGAAGGGAAAGAAAAAACCGGGCAGGGCATGCTTGCACGCTCGGGCATCTAGCAGGCCAGTTGCTCACGAGAGAGGCACGTCCGAGGGATGAGGCGCGTCCGAAAGACGATCTGCGCGCTGGAGATCACTATTGGTTCGGGTGGCTGCATGTCGACGCAGGCGAGCGCAGTGTGCATGCGAATAAACCGAAGAAACCGACCAGCGCTGCGTTTGACGTTGGATTTCGAAAGATCTTGGCTTCAGAAAATGCGAAAATAAACAATTTCAAACATATTATGTATGATGTCAAAACACAGCAGAAGACGCTGCTAAAAATGTTGGAGATGCTTTCCAATTTTTTGTTCAACGAAAAATCTTGGAAAAGAACCGTGGTAAATATTATAAAAAAGCCATTCAACGGAAATGGTGCGGAACGCGCTTGGCAACGTGCGAAAAGCCGAATGAATTCAGCGGCCTCGGGGCTCCACCGGTCACCGAGCTCAAGTGCGAGGACAACGAGGCAGCGCGGGGCACGGACAAGCCCGGGGTAAGTTCGCTCCCTGGCACAGCGGGCGAAAAACGGAGGGCAGCCGCAGCCTTGCGGAATCTGCCCGCAAGGGGGTCGAAAGGGGGACACCAAAATCGTATCGACGGCAAGCTGGGCCCCTCCCCATTACGGCAAGCCATTAGCCATGGCCCCCAGGTGGTGGTCATCATGGTGGTCAACGATGACATTGAAGTCTGGCAGTAGGATGTTCGTGGGGACGGTGGTCGCCGAACTGATCGGGCCGGGCGCGGCAGCGGTTCGTGGCAGAGTCGAAGGGTTTGAGGCGCTTGAAGGCCAAAACGCGGAAACAGGCATGCTTGAGGCGGATCTCAGGGGAAGTGGGTGGAGCAGTGGGGACACAGGCTGCAGATGTGCCAGTTTGCGATGTTTTTTGGTGAAGGGAAAAGGGGCGGTCGCAGTGTCATGGAAGGCCAGGGATGTCCGGACAGGGCTAAACCTGGAACGGTGGTAGGGAAGACTCGTTGCGCTGCTTGACCGGCGGACTCTTCGGGCTTGAGGCTGTGCCTCGAGAAAGGTCTGTGGATTCTTCTGTGGCCTCGGGAAAAAGGAGGAAGGGAGCGGTTCCAACCAATGCGACTTCATGCCGGCGCGGTGAAGAATCTGTCATTGACGTTGGTAGCGTCAGCCCCATTACAGAAGACAAAGCCTATGTTCATCCAGAACAAGCATGTGGCACTAGTTGACGTATACTTCCGATGGCTGCCCCCATGTTTTGAGAACGTTCCCGTCGCTGCCACCTACTTGTCTGGCCAACCTGTAAATTTGTTAGCCCCATGTCCCGCGGGGAATAGCAAGAACAAAATCGTGCCAGAAGAACCGCAACAAGTCGGGAGGAAAAAAAAAACACACACACACACATATGTTTCCTATGTTTTATTTGTTTTGCCTTTCTTTCGGGTTTCCTGTGTTCTGCTGAATCACATTCGAGGCGCAAACTGCAATTCGTAAACCCAGAGCGGACTGTTGCAGACCGGTTGACGCAAATTGCCATGAAAGCGTTGTGCACCCGTACGTTTTGAAACCCTGGCCTCTGAAACGCCTCAGAAAAGCACGTTTTTCCGTATTTTTTTTGAGTCGTGGCGGTTCGTTGCAAAATTTGTTTTCCCGTTCCTGGCTTTGTTTTTATGTTTGCCGAAGGTATTTAACACGCATCGCGCGGCCGACGTGGAAAACGAGCGCGTCAAAGGTGTTCAAGCTCGTCAGGTGAACTTGTACAGCAAGTGCGACTGCTCCCATTGGCCGCGTAGCATCGGAAAATGGCGCCTTCGGGCAGTGAGTTTAAACTCACCCCGACACATTCCAAGCCCACACATTTAACGGGCGAACAGCGCTTGGCAAAGACGCTTTCGAAAAAATTGCGCATTCAATCACTGTAGTTCATAGTCACCCCTCACAAATACTCCAAGCCAAAAGATTCCGAAGCGCCATATAATTTTCGGGAAAAAACATGCGCTTGCCAGGCCGCAGGTGCATCCTGGCAAGCATAATTTCAGCATAATGTGTGATTTTGAAACAAATCCATCCCAGTCCATTCCGTAACGATGCTCCCATTTTATACCTGCAATGTTGAAGTTGGCACAAGCCAATGTGTGGCTCTAAATCGCAGTTTCCTGAACGATCTTTTGTGCATGGGCTGCGTTTGGGTGATGAGCCTGCAGCTTGCCAAAATTGCGATGATTGCATCTGTGCCAGCCATTGACCACCCCGTTGACCTGTTAGCCTCTCGCACCGTGGGCTGCCCACTTTGTTTTACGCTGCCGCGATATCCAGTGCCAAGGGCGTCAAAAAGAACATGCCTGGTTGTCGACGTTTTCAAGGAAAGCCCTGATGACGATGCGTCAACGGTTTTTGCGCTCCGGATGGCATCCGCTTCTGAATTGCGCCTTTGTGGGCAGCAGGTTTTTTTCGACGGTGTTTTCATGTTTTTGCTGCGCCGGGCTGTGCCAATATCATCGACGAATCTGATGAAACAATGCCGGATTCAGTTTGTTTTACACCGACAAAATGGGTTGCTTGCAGCATTGCCATGCTGCCTTGGTTTGGAAACTTGTGGCTCGAATGGGCATCAACAACATCTGCCTCACGTGGGCACATGTCAGCAAATTTCCACCCTTGCCAAAAAAACACGCATAGATCATTGATACTAAGATAATTGGGTAGGTGTCGTGTGCCCACCCAACGTGTCGCGTTGCGCGTCTCATGCGCAACTTATAGTTTCTGGTTAGACACCCTCCCGCATTGGGTGTTCGGGCATGAGGGGTGCGAATCATCCTGCCACCGGCTCCACATGTATCGACACGCTTGCACAAAACAAAACGCCCAACCTGCTTCAACATTTCAAGCCGTCTCGCA